ATTGAATTCCGACAACTGTGTTGCTGTGTAGGCATCAATTGTATACAGGGGTATTTCAGTATATTTCCATTGCTTACCCGAAGCCCAAAGGTATTTATAACCATGGTCCTTTTTAAATTGTTTTGCCATTGTAATAACAGTTCGATATTTCTTTTTGTTAAATCGTGGTTTATGTAGATTGTAGATGGCCCCGTTGATGTTGCTATATCCCAAATCACTGGTCGAAAGCTTTTATGCTTTTTTAGCCTGCATCCATTTGTTTTTTATCATCATAAGATTTAAATATGATTTTAATCCCAAAATCGCAGAGTGAGCTCTTCCTTGATTTGAGTTTTCCAGTCTATAAGCCTTTTCGATGTTTTCGGTTAACAACGAATGGGACCCCCTGTAAAAGGAAAAAATAACAAGTTTCCTTTTGTACTCTCTGCCTTGGATCATATACATATGTATCTAGTAAGTAATGTAAAAATAAAGGAAAACTCTCTTTCTGATCATAGTTTTATGCTATTCCGAATTTCTGATAAGTTTAAAATTTATAAACCGAAAATAGATGTAAGTATTAAGTGTGTTGATTATAAACAGTTTATTGAAAATTTTAGGCAACAAAAAAACAGTCTTCCTATTTCCTCATTTAAAGAATTAATTGATATAATCACACGTTCAAAAAAGGCGGCTCAGTACAGTAAAAATTTACGAATAAAAAAGGGGAATGATTGGATAAATCAAGATATTTTAGACTTAATTAAATTGCGTGATAGTGCTTATTCAAGAAAAATAAAATATCCGGATAGTCAACAGTATGTTTTTGAGTTTAATAGATTAAAAAATAAAGTGAATAATAAAATTAAAACTGAAAAAAACCGATACTTCAGCTCACAGTGGGACCGGGCAGGTAATAATATTAAAAAGCAATGGGAATTTATAAATGGTTTTATTAATAAACAAAATAGAAATGACAATATTGATTTCCTATCTGTAAATGGACAAAAAATCGAGCAGAAAATAGATATAGTAAATAATTTAAATTATCATTTCTCTCACATTGGTGAAAAGATAGTGGGCACATTGAATGAGGAAATTGGAATGATTGACAATGTAAATGTATATAGAGAAGTAATGTGTAATACAAACATATCAGAGGTGGAATTAACAAATGAAGCTGAAGTTGAGGAAACTATATTGGAACTAAAAAAAAATTCAGCCCCAGGTTTTGATGAGATCACCGTACTGGATTTACTTAATCTTAAGGATGAAATTCTTCCTATTCTTACCCAATTAATAAATCACATTTTTTTAAGTGGAATTTTTCCGGCGGAATTAAAAATAAGTAGGATAAGTCCAATATTCAAGTCAGGCAACACTGATGACATGAACAACTATAGGCCGATTTCGGTCATTGCGGTTTTCTCTAGAATTATTGAAAAAATGATAAAAAAAAGAATGACTGCTTTTATTCATAACAATTTAAATTTTGATCCTTTCCAGTATGGTTTCATCAAAGACAGCAATACACTTTCAGCTACGTTCGACTTTGTGAATTATGTATCGGAAAAATTGGACAAAAGAAACATAGTTATATCTGTATTTGTGGATTTAAAGAAAGCGTTCGATGTGGTTTCACTGGATAAACTGTTGTATAAGCTTCATTGTTTGGGATTTAAGGGAAAGTTTTTGAATCTAATCAATACATATTTAGGTGATAGGCAACAATTTGTTAGGTTAGTTGAATGTAAAAGTGATATTTTATCAAATAACTATGGAGTACCACAGGGTTCGGTCTTGGGACCGCTTTTTTATTCCATCTATGTTCTTAGTCTAAAATTGGCAAACATTAGGGCCAGATATTTTACATTTGCAGACGATACGGCTTTGGTTTATACTGGATCAGACATGGGGCGTTTAGAGACGGAAACCAATCAAGACCTGGATAATTATCTTAATTGGCTTTATGCAAATGAACTGAAAATTAACATCGACAAAACCAAATTTATAGTGTTTAAACCAAAAAATAAATTGATAGGAAATTTGAATCTTGAAATTAGCAACGTTCCCTTACATAGAGTAGAGTCTATAAAATATCTAGGGCTAAACATAGATGAGTCTCTCAATTGGCGTAAACATATAGACTACCTCTCTGAAAAGCTCAATGCAATGGTGCCGATCGTCTATAAATGTAGGAATTATCTGACCCACAAAAGTAAAATGAAAATATATAACGCCTATTTTTTAACGCACTTGCGATACCTCATACCAATCTGGGGAATATGTGGTGGAACCTCATTTAGGATAATACAGACATTACAGAATAAAATTTTAAAAATTCTCTTTGATTATGACTTTTTGACACATACAGAGTTGTTATATAGGGAACTAGGTATTTGTAGGGTGGAAAAAATTCTGATGTCGGAGCAAAGTAAACTAATGTTCAAAATAATTAATAACCAGCAAAAGTGCAACTCTACAATATTATTTTCAAGTGAGATACACAACTATAACACCAGATCAGATCAAACTATTTATATATCTCATAGCAGAATTAATATAGGATTAAATTGTCCGTTAGGATCCACGTCTAGGGCGTTTAACGACTTACCTTATAATATTAAAAATGTACCTACCTTACAGTTATTTACAAGGAGACTTAAAGAATATTTGAATTGAAGATCTGTTTCAATCTTATCAGATTACCTACATAGTGGGGTGCCTTATTCTGTGCTAGTAGTTCCTAATTGGGATAGTATTTGGTGATTTTAATTGGATGATCTGGTTTTATTTATTTTTTTTTTTTAATGGTATTTTGGTGCATAATAATATTATTATATATATATATATATATATGATGTTTTTGGGTATATGTTAGTGTTGTCTAGGTTTAATATTGAGCTAAGCTCTAGGATTTGAGAGAGGTGAATTATTTAATATTCTGATACACCACTGTTAAATAACTTAAGTGAATTAGCTGGTTTTTCTCGTTACCAGTATTTTAAATACTGATTTGAGAAATGTTTAATAATATTGTATTTATGTATTTGTTGAAATAAATGATTTTCAAAAAAAAAAAAAAAATTTGCTTCCTATTGTTGATGTTTCAAAGTCTTGCAGTATAAAGACATGATAAGATTTTGCCAATAAAAGAACTAAGCGCCGACATATTTTAATAAAGGGTTTTCAGAAGAAAGTTTGCAAAATAAAACAATTTTCCTGAACCCTTCTACTGCAGAAGACCTAAATACAATTTTTACTAATCTAACAGGAAACGCTGCACCTGGCCCAGACGGAATCATAAGTACCTATAGACATAAAAAACTGTAAAACGATGCCGATATCGATTTTTAAACTTGTTGATAACATGATGGTGGAAGAAAAGTTTCCAGAGTGCTTAAAGCTTAAAAAAATCATTCCAACACATGAAGCATAGAAGGACTTCATACAGTATAACTTTCCACTCCTGCAGTAAATAAGTAATATGCATATACAGGGTGTTTGGTACATCGATAGAAAGATTTTAATGAGTGAGAGTTGGGGTCATTTAATTGAAAGCTGTTTGGCCATATTTACTCTCATGCAAAGTTTCGCCGTTTTTTGAGATATCTATGTATTTCCATTTTTAGATATTTTGAATCCATGTATTTTGTATTTTAACACATAACTTGGGTTACATATTTTTTGTATCAATCATTCGGATTTCTTTCCATATTTTTCCGGAAGAGTGCATATCAGGCATATCGGAAACAAAATTGAGAAAGGATAAAAGTGTCAAAATATATCTAAAAATCCTGATATCTCAAAAAGGAGGAAACTTTGCATAAGGGTAAATGTGGTCAAACAGCTCCCAAATGACCCCAACTATCACTCATCGAAAATTTCCTATCCACGTACCAAACACCCTTATAATAACTATAATTTTCATGTTTATTCTATACATCAAAATTCTTATGTCTATTTACATGTAATCAAGAATAAATTGCCATCCGTTATTTTGAAGTATTTTCTGTATGAATTAGAAAAATAAAAATAATCAAAAATTTTGGGCTTGGTGTGATTCTAGTACAAATTTGATTTGGTAGCAACCCTGGGACTGTCACGGTAGAGCGATAAATTTTCGGAAATTGTCGGAACTAACGATTCTAGTTTTAGTTATGCCAGATTTCACGATTATTCGTAAAATTACACGATTTTTGTCAGAATTTCACGATCTCACGAATGGGGTAGCAATTCTCAAAAATTCTCTGTGTATTCATACAAATCAGTAGTTAAATGTTTATTGAAATAAAAATCTACTATACAATATTTAGTTATGTTACGCCGCTCAAATAGCAAACTTTGGTAATAGTAACGTGTCATATTATATAATAATAAAAAAGAAAATAGTGACTCAAGTGATTCTGAAAAGTAATTATTTTTTCAGTGTTTAAATTTACTCTATTATTCTATTTTTGTTTCGCAATATCCATTTATAAGGCCGTGTTTATGTTGGACCTGTGATAAACGATAAAAGCAACTATACTAGCGATGCAGCGAAATACAATGCCTGTGTTTGTACGCAGGTGTCTATGTTTTAGCGGCGTGTAGAGCAGCGCTTTTTTGATACTTTTGAATAGCTCTTATCACCCCTATTATCGACTCTCTCATAGCTTTTATCACAGCTCTAACATGTTTATGTTGGAGCTGTGATAAACGATAAAAGCAACGATACGAGCGAAGCAACGAAATACAATGCATGTGTTTGTACGCAGATGTTTATGTTGAAGCGGCGGGTAGAGCAGCGCTTTTTTGATACTTTTGATAGGATACTTTTGAATAGCTCTTATCACCGCTATTATCGACCCTCTCATAGCTTTTATCACAGCTCCAACATAAACACGGCCTAATAATATTGAGCAATTTTTATTTTTAGTTTCACGATTTTTCTTTTTCGATCCTCACGATTTTTTTTGATCTCATCTGGCAACGCTGAGATTAGTATAGGGGGTCGCAGTGGTCGCCATTCCGTCCTTGGCGTCGATTTGTTTCGCTTTTCGTTATTCGATACGCCATCCATCTTTCTTTTCCTGTACGTTGCTCGTTGATGGTCGAGGCGTCCTCAGCTCTTGAATTTTGAAATTTTTGTTTAAACAGTCGCCAAAATGTCTGACGGTAAGTTAAATTTTAAATCTTCTATTATTGTTACTATTTTTGATGAATCAGATGGTTTTTTGGTAATATTTTGATGCTTTTGTCATATTTTGACCAATTCTGTTGATATTTTTCGCCGGAATTGTCGGCGTCGGCATTTTGCGATTTTGCCCAACGCTTGCCATTATTTTATTGGAAAACGATCCCAATCCGATGTATCATTTGTCTTTGGATTAGCTCTATCAAAATTATTAGGGGAATTGAATTACACGATCTATTAAGTTTCCGATTTTTGTAGGATTTTTTCATCAAATGACGCTTCCTTTTCATTGACTTTTATTTTGAATGCGTCCCCAGCATAGTAGGTATGCCAGCATTTACCTGATTGTTTGTATGTTTTTGATTTCCATCAGATAGGCTGCTTATTTAGTGGGTTTATTTACTTTTTACAATTTTGTCTGAATAATCAATATGTATATTGATTCAGAAAATAAGTGGCTTTATCCAGCTCTTTTGCATAGTCCTCAATTTTAATTCATTCAGAAACCATTAGAAAACAACAGGATCTGCTGAAGTCTCATTTTCAGTAATCAGTGTGTGTTTTGGCGCTTCTCTTGTATATTTTATCAGCAATGAGTTTGATGGAAGAAGAATCTGAGGATTAAATTGCCGAATATGCGGCCAATGGTGGTTTATTTCATACCTACCTCGGTTTATACAAACACAGATAAAATTATTTTGTAGTGTTTACTCAGACACGGAACAACATGATAAGTAATTTTCAACCAATCAGCTGCAAGAGCATGATCACATGTTTTCTGTCACTCTAACACAAGAATGCGTTTGAAATCAGTCTGGGCGTCACATTGAGTGCGAAAATATTGGGGGTGCTACCCAGTGTGCACTTTTTCTTAACCAATTCTACCGCTAGGTAAATTTCACTTCTGTCATTCTTGTCAGTTAGTTCATTGACCTGCTCTCACCCTTGTGTAAAATTTAACCCTTCTTCGAACGCGCTTCAAAAGAGCCACCTTAAAGTAAAATTCTCAATGGAACATGCACAGATCCATTTTCACATAAAATAGGTAAGACATAAAAGTTAACCAACTTTCCTATGTCTTCTGTTATGTTATGTTATTTTGTGAAGAAGTGACATAAGGGATTTCCATGATGTCAACTTTTCTTTTTATCTCATGTTCTGTCTTGTGTTTATTTTATGTGTTCCATTGAAAATTTGACTTTGACGTGATTCTTTTGTGTTTGAGTCTGACAAAAGGTCTGTTCTTGCAGAAATCACAAACCAGTCAGAGTGAATTTCATTGGTTGAAAATAGTCAGAAAACTGGTTATTGGCGATTTGCACCAATCAAAAATGCTCTGACTGGTTAGTGATTTCTGTGAGAACAGACCTAATGTAACAGAAACACATGATTATTTGGTTGCAGCTGATTGGTTGAACATTTTCTGTATCTGTATAAAGCCTCCAAGTTTTGTGACACATACCATAAGATATAAACATAATATAAAAAATAAGATAAGATTATTTTGTAGCAGTTATACAGAAACAATAACATATCATAACATAAGGAAGAATTTTCAACCAATAAGCCTCAAGAGAATGATCACATGTTTGCTGAAAATGGGCATTTGTGCACATCTTGGTGCGCATGGACATGGGGTGCTGTTGCCCCCTAATACAACCTGTGATTGGTTGGGGCTTATGCTTAGCTTATGCGTTATGCAATACCGTTTGTGATGGCCTTAACCGAATTTCTTATGTATTGTTTTATGTTTTCCTATTTTGTGTATAAACGACAAAAGGGATTTCCATGAGGTTAACTTTTCACCCTATCTTATGTTATGTCTTATCTTGTGTCTGTATAAACCCACCATTAGGTATGGTATTTTATGTTATTTTCTATATAAATGACATAAAGGATTTCCATAGTCAACTTTTTATCTTATGTTATGGTCTTATGTTATACAGGGTATACCATTTAAAACGAAACAGGCTAAATATCTGATGCCACTTTTTTTTTCGCTCATACACGTAATTTGATTGTGTGAGTGTTTGAAACATTTTTAGCACTAACTGAAACCTCTAGGGGGGGGGGGGGCAACCCTTACCATTCCAAATGGAACAGGGGGTCGAGTGATACCTGTTTTAGAAGATTGTTTAATTTTCTTTCAAATGAAAGAGAATTGACCGCTCTTTTAAAAGAGGTATCACTCGACCCCTTGTTTCATTTGAAATAGTAAGAGTTGGTCCCACCACGCCTAGAGGGTTGAAGTAAAAATGGCTGCAGAAAACTTCCCCCTTTGAAAATCAAATTATGTGTGCAAGCGATTTTTAAAAAAATAATCGCAACATCAGATATTTAGCCTGTTTCGTTTTAAATGGTACACTCTGTATGTGTCTGTATGAATACACCATTACTGCAAAGACAAAAAAAGGTTCAAACCTCGAAAAACCATTAAAACTTTTTGCTACTACCAAAACATGAAAACATGGGATTCAGAACAGTTTTCTAAATTCACAAGAATGGCAATTCCTGTTCTTGAGTTATTTTGAGAAAGATACATAAACTTGAGTTTCGCGTTGCCGTCGTCGTCAAATATGAGTTTTAAAGCTTCGTAGTTTTATTTGTTGTTGAGAATAATGATTGGACAAGGTGTGCCTGAGAGGTACTTGGTACCGACATTGAAAACATAATTAACTGGTATACACCCTCACACAAATTACAAAAATACAAGAAGAAAATAAAAATTATATATCAATTCTGTATTGCAAAGGCAGTTAAGTGCGCATGCTACACCCCATATTCGATTTATATTGGCCAGCAGCTGAAAACAGGACGACAAACATAAAAGATTTTCATCCTCGATCCTCGACAGTAACAGCAAAGCGATACTCAAGTTCATAAATCCAGCTTCAAGATTCGAAAAATCAAAATAATCTGTCCCACTATGAAAACACTTTATTCGAAAATTACTTGACTGCTGAAACCCCGTTTTGGTTGGCTCTTTGTAACATGATACGGACTGGCAGATGGAAAAAGATTTTAAGGTTTTAAACGAAAAACTAGTAATCAGTGCCAAAAGCCATTAAAATTTTAAAATAATCGTTAAAATTAGTAATGGGCTCTACCGTCTTGTGCACACAATAATAATAAAATTCATAATACAAGTAGGCTATTTTTGTATGCACTAAATTGTGCATTAGGTCACTGTATAAACAGATGTATCTTAGGTCTTCAAAAATAATTGGAGGAAGCCACAATACGAAAAATGTCCCTTCTTATCAGTTCAATATCACTATCCCTTCATTAAGTATATTCAATTACACTTATCTTGGAAACCTAGTTTATTTAGTTTTTCTATCATCAGTTCAATATTGACTGTATTGACTGCCTTTTGGACATTGATGAACACAGTAATAACATATTTGTTTTGGTCAATTTCACTTGCTATGTGAACTAGAAGAACTGCTGTTGCTCACAGTGTATTGCTTTTTGCTTGAAAACCGTATTGGTTGTTCTCAAATCCAAATACAGAGTTTACAAAATAAATCATCCGTGATTTAATTACCTTTTCAGTGCTGAGCAAGGATGTAGGACGATAATAATGTAGGTCTTCATGAAGAAAGACTCCAATATTTTCATTTCATTATCAATTATATGTTGACTCTGCCACATTTTTTATTTATTTATTAATGGAATTGCCATTTATACACAGAATTAACAAAGCTAGACAGACAAAAATCAAAATGCTTGTATTTATCTAACTAACCAACAGTATAATTTACAAAAAAAATCAAAGAATTGGATTTATTCTCGGAAGTATTTTCAGCAGCCAACATGAATTTGTAAAAACATAGTGGAGTAGTACAGAAATAGAAATATACCGGAGTAGTGGACATCGCCGTCAATCTCGTCGCAGAGAGTCCCTGAATAAAATGATTTGTTTTCTAGCACAAAACCTGGAATTAGCTCTGCAATTGAAGGTCACGCGTTGCCATGTGCGGATTTGCAATCATTCAAAATCGACCGCAAGGCGCCAAACTTGGTCCGTATATTTGTCAATATACTGAAATCGATCTGCGGTGCGCCAATGTGAACATATCGATATATTTCACAGCGGCTGCGAAATAAACTATGTTTTTACACCAGAAATTATATCTATTTTTACCTTTTGGAGAAAATAATACAAAAAATCAGCATACTGACTTAAGGCTCATTCGCCTTATGTTTCAATTTGACTCTGATCCAATTGTGGTTTAATACAAGTCGAGATAATTCAAATTTTTCAATAACAAAACTTTCAAAACTCAGTAAAATGTTTATTTGCCTTCCTGGCTATTTTGATTTGGCAGTTACTTTTTTTTAGTTCCTCTGCTATTTCCTTCCAAAGTTTTTGTTTGTGGATGTTGTCTGAATATATTTTTCTGCAAAACTCTGGACAAATGCAATCAATCACTCGTCCATTTTGTCTCAAATGCAGATAACTGTCGCAACCTCTACTATTTTCCTACCAAGGGTGCATTCCACAGTTAGATCAAAATAGATATCATTGAGAGGAAATACTGTAGTCACTTGACTGGCGCGTGATTTTACAATGTAAATAGTGTAATTTAAAATAATGCCATAATATTTGATCTCATTAGCGTTCTTCAAAGCAATTCCATACAGTGATACCTTAAAAATATCCAACAAATATATTATAGAACAGATTTAATATTTTTATTTTACAGCGTATGGTGGAGGTGGTGGTGGTTATGATTACACTCAGCCACCTCCGAACTCAGGATATCAAAGTAGCGGTTACAACTCTGGACAAGGCGGCGGTTATGGACAGCAAAGCGGTGGTTATGGACAAGACCAATCTGGTGGAGGAGGAGGATGGGGGGGACAGGGAGGTGGCCGAGGTCCTTCGCAAGGCGGGTATGGTGGTGGACAAGGTGAGATTTTGTCGCAATTAATTTAAAAAAAAAATAAAAATATATTTCTCAAATTTGTCCTGAACATGTGTCCAAACTATTGGATGTCTGAATTATAGAGGTTACACTGTACGCCAAATTACCTTACCGACGTAGGCATAGAAGTAATCTTTGTTCATAGTTTACATTCTACCTTCTATGTCGAAAATTAAAACTAGGAATGATAGTCCTTGTGATTAGCTAGTAATGGCAAGGGTAGAAAATCCTTAGGACAAAAATAATAGTTAAAAAAAAAATAATGACATCATCAAAAATAATATTAACAAAACTTTATAACAGTTTTCATTTTTAATAGAAAAATGAGAAAAGAAGAAAACTTTTTAGTCGATTATTCATAATTTTGTAAAATATATTTCCCTTACAGGTGGTTATGGAGGCGGTGGCGGCGGAGGCTATGGTGGCGGCCAAAGTGGCGGATACGGTGGTGGCGGCGGAGGATATGGTATGTTTTTGGAAGTAAATATCAAATAAACCAATTAATGATTTGTTTTTCATCTAGGCGGTGGTAGGGACCGTGGAAACTCCGGTGGTGGAATGGATCGCGGCTATGGGTAAGTTACCATAATTTTTTATTACAGTAATGTAGCCTGGATGATAGGAATTACCCTTTTTTACCTTAAAATTTTAGAGAGTATACAAAGGAAAAAACCTAGCGATACAATGACAAATTATTTAAGGTCAAATTTGGTAGCGGTACTTTTAATATAAACCCTTGAAAGGTATAACATCTCTTCCTTGAATTAAAAGTGGTTTGCGCGGGTGTAAATTAATGCCATTTGAGGTCAGTCTGAAAAGGTGTTTTTCTCAAATAAGTCTTTTCTTTTGTATCGACATTTTTGTATGAATGGTTTTGTTTTTGACAGTTTGCAAGTTTGTTGTTTTGAAACAAGCAATGTAACAAGTTATTTAGAATGTAATTATTAAAATCAGTATTTTGGCATCTGAAGCTCATAGCAGCAATGTACCAGGAGAAGTTTTTGAAATAATACAAATAATTTTTAGGTAACTCATATTCTGTGATTCTAATTTAAGTTCACTTCATCCAGCTCTTATACTCCAATAATTCAAATGTATGCCTCAATTTTTTTTTAGTTTATGTTGTATATTCAACTACTATTGTGAGATTTTTGAACTGTTACAATACTGATTTTAATTTTTTTAAATTTTTACTAATAGTTAATTATTCTTGAAATTGTGATTTTGTTTTATTGAATTTATTGATGGTTCCAATTTCAGAAGTATTTGCTTTTACCTTTTTGACTTGACTGAACATATTAAAACATCAATTAGTTCTAATTATGGTTTTTAACTTTTTATTTCAGTTGTCATTAAGGTTCGAAGGTCCCAAAAAAACGTTGAATACATTTTATGGTGCAATGCATTATCAGGGTACCCACAGATGTGGTTATATAATAATTGAATTGGTGTAACATTTTTGGTACTTATTTTAAAAAATCCTTAAATAATAAATTTACAATCAAAATTTGCCTAAGAAACATTGCAGTTGCACATCAGCCAAAGCACGAGCATGTGAATTTCAAAAGGTTTGTTTTTTTTTTACTGTGCAAAATTTTTGTACAATTTCCAACATTAAGAATTTGGTGATCATAAAGGGTACATACTCTGAAGTGCAATGCAAAAATCTTACAAAGGTAACAGGAAAAGCAAATGTTTAAATAAGTTTATGTTATAGCATTATGATGCTAAAAATATGAAGACTAGACATAATTAACAAGACGATTACTACAATAGACTTTTAGAATTGTGTATAGGTATGTTGGACCAAACGAGAAGAAACACAGGGTTAGCAATTACGTCTCAATGAATGACAAGGTTTATTCTCCGATTGGCTAGTTTGGTGTCAAGTGTTTGAAGCATTTACTGATGAGTTATTCTTCTTTTTTAGAGGTGGCCAGCGTGGCGGTTTTGGCAAAGGTAAAAGCACCAATGTCCTTTTTCAAGACTTGGTAGCATTTTGTATTATTTATTTTATTGATGTTATTGTTGAGTTTATTACCAATGCTGTATCGGTATTGCGCGATAAATCGTATTTAAACCCAAAATTCATTAGACCTAAATCAATTTTTGACTACTTAGTGCTTCCCCATTGGCCTGTAGAAGGAAAATGAAAGTAAAACCTTCGGGCAAATCTTTCCAAACTTCTAAACAAATTTTGTTTTGAGTGTAATGACTTTTGGTTTTATATACATATACTAGATTCCGTTCTGGTTTATTTATTGATGAAAGGTTATATTTATTCTTGGGAATGTAACTAAAGATTTTTCAATTTATTCCTGGGAGTGAATTTGACTTTGCATCAATAATAAATAGGACTTTGGGTGTGAAAAATGATCAGTTCAATTGTCCATAATGAGTAAAACACTAATTACCTCAGTATTGTAGAGCAAGAGGCTTTAAAATGAGAAATATTTAGTTCAAATAAGTACATACATATTTACTTTTATGCAGTCAAATATGTTAGTAGTTATGGCAATTGATTTGATCAAATTTTCTCTTCAAAAATATTTTTATTACTTTTTCCTATTTTTAGTCAGGTTAGGTTGTTAATAATTGCGCATACTTTCCTTTTTCCAACAATTGAAAATTTTGCAAAGACTTCCTATAAGTATCAAATTTGCCATTTTGTTGTGGTAAGGATTATCTTTTTCCTATCCCAAATGTCCTATTTGCCTCCTTTTCTTGGAAGTCAAGGTATAATTTCTAATTTACCAAGAAGTACGAAACTTTTAAGTTGCTTTCAACTGGTTTTAAGAATTGAAGCTAGTTTTATGCTATACTGAGAGTTATCCTTTACCGAGAGTTATCCTTAAAGTGTTAATCTGAAATTAAATTAAAGGAGTTATTGAGTTAAATTATGATGATGATTTGATAGGGGTAATTCGAGAATTGGGTATCGGGTATATAATCTGAATGGAAAGAAGGAAATAGTTTGAAAAAACTGGCAAAAATAATTCAGACTTGAGTTGTCAAGTTAAAGGTGGTAGAAGGTGGTGGTACTAATATTAGACAAAATATCTCTTGTTAAAGGTATCCAAATTACTTAACACAGTGGTTGCTATTTTCAATCTAGCCTTATTCGATCCAAGAATGTTCTGTCCTATAACATAATTATTTAGTATGGATTTTCCACAATATTGCTATAGTAAAGGTTGAATTATTCTGTTGCGATTATGATGAGATAATCAAAGGGTTTGCACTGACTGCAATTATTAGGGGTAATGAACTAAAAAATATTTCACCACACGTCAACTGGATCTAAGCTGTAAGGTTTATTTTGCCCATAACATCGAGAGAAAGAGAAAATGGCAACAGAAAAAAATTGATTCTACTACTACAGTACTAATTTTAAAAACGTCTTTGTGATGGGAACCCACATTTCATAATGTTTACCTGCTCAGTATTAAAAACTATAATACATAGTAATGAAAAGGCTTTATTTTTTCGAAGTTTAATTCCAAGTTAACAACCACATCCTTGTATAAATTCTATCACTTCCACGAGCGCAAGTATAATACTAAAACTCTGTTAGGGCATGGAAGCTTATCTGACACTCCTAATTGCAGATATTGTAGGTCTACTAAAATCCACCAGTAAACAGAAAAAAATCCATTGCACTGACTAAATTATTATAATTAAGACTTAGATTATTCATTTAGTAATAAAATTCTAATCTCCAAATGATTTTACAGGCGATGGAAGTCTCGTAATTCAACAGGACACAATTTTTATATCTGGAATTGACCCCAATTTCACAGAGGATGATATTGCTGATCATTTTGGATCTATTGGCATCATTAAGGTATGTATTTTCAAAGATTTTTACTATACCCAACTCCCAATAAAAATCAGCCCTGATTACTCCAAATTGGTTTGATTTACTTCTGCAAACTGCACTCTGTGCTTGAATTTACCAGTATTCAAGTCCAATTTTGATGTTTTGCAAGATAAATTATTGCAGATTCTATTCATCAATTATCAAACTTCCTTAGATAATTGAATTATTCCATCTGTAACAATCAATTTTTATAATTAAAATTACTATTTTATAATTGCAGACAGATTTTCCAACTAAAAATATAACTTGTAAATTTCAGATGGACAGACGTACCAACAAAAAGAAGGTTTGGTTATACAAGGACAAGAACACAGGAATGTCGAAGGGCGAAGCCACTGTCACATATGATGATAGCAATGCTGCTCAGAGTGCCATTTCATGGTTTGACAACAAAGATTTCAGAGGATCCACCATCAAGGTAATTGCATAGTTATTATTCATTTATTCATAAACTTGAATCAGTACAATAATTATTATTTAGACTACTGGGACAAGTCAAACACAAAAGTTTTCCCTAAATATAAACAAAACACACTATATCACACCCAATTTTAAAATGTTGATTTCATATAAATATTCGTTATCGATTGGACACTAATTTATAAGGATTTTGAAGGTTTTTATTATTATTATTATTATTATTATTATTATTATTATGGTACAATAGTAAACAATTTACACTGATGAAACTTTTGGATTACTTGTAAGTTTATCGTCGTGTTTTTGATAAGTTATTGTCTGTAGAATATGACAGGCTGTTCCATGGGTAGACAATTCGATTTGCTAGGAAGTTCCTTCTTGGAAGCTTGGCAGGTTTTTCCTTGCACAACTTTAAGTATGAGCTCGTAGATGGGGGTTGTCATTGAAGGTAAAGATGTCAAGGTTACAGGAGTAGCCATTTCGAATAATCTTGTATGTCTCGATAAGATCTCCTCTCAGACGTCTTTCCCTCAAAGAAATCAGTCCCAAAGTGGATAGTCGAATAAGGTAATCTTCATTACGGAGTGATGGTGGAATCTTTGTTGCTTGTCTCTGCACACTCTCTAGTATCTCAATATCCTTAATGAGGTACGGATTCCAAACTGAGTGGGCGTATTCTAGTTTTGGACTTATAGGACTTATAAAAGATTTAAACAGTTTGATAATGGTGTCACACAACTGGTCTTCAAAGACCTTGTTCACAAGGTATATGTATGAGTTGAATTTTTTGGCTATTTTTGCATAAATGCATCTCTCATTTCAGATTATAGGTTACTAAGACACCTAAATCCATTTGTTCCCTCACATGCTTCACCTCAACATTGTTTATTTTGTGGACATATCCACTAGTATTGGTCCCAATGCTCAAGGTAGTACATTTTTCTTCATTTAGCCTTATTTTCCAGGTATTGAACCACACTTCTATAGCTCTTGAGATCTTCTTGCAATGTCTTGTGTTCTGTGATCTTTGCATACAATTTCGTGTCGTCAGCAAAAAGTCAGATTTTGGTTTGGATATTTGATGTCATATCGCTGACATATACTAGAAAAAATAGAGGGCTCAGTACTGATCCGTGGGGCATCCCATTCTGGTTGTTTCTTCTGTCTGAAAATGTTGCATTTATTCTTACTTGATAGTATCGGTTCAATAGAAAATTTTATATAAATTGTAGCAAGCTCCCAGCAATGACAAAGTGATGTAATTTATGCAGGAGATAGCTGTGGCACACCTTATCGAAATCGAGATATATCACATCCACTTGCTCACTATTGTCAAACTGTCTTGTCCAATCGTCCAAATCGGTGTGAGATTGGATGTAGAGAACGCCTTGGAAGAAAGCCATGCTGGTGCTTCAGTAATGGATTTTGCTCCATTAAAAATGGGGTTAACTGTTTCCCTAACATTTTTTCCATACACTTGCATAGATTGCATGTCAAATTTATTGGACGATAGTTCATTGGAGCGGTTTTGTCTCCTTTTTTGTATATTGGAATCACAAACGATGTTGACCAAGACTCAGGAAAGTTGTAAGCTTCAAATATACTTTTTATCAGTTCAGACAAAGGTTGGTATTCCGGAATTAGTGGAATTTCGTTTTGATTTCCTTTGGTGAATACCTTTTCAAATTCGTTTGCAAAGCATTCCGCTACATCAAAGTCGTCAGTCAAAAGTACATCTAATTTATTCTTTAATGTTATTGTTGGAACTTTGGATGATAGTGTTACAAGTTCATATAGTTAAAAAGATGTTTTATATGAACTCTGAGAGGATATGTTGCATTCATAATCTTTTCTTGACTTTCTGATTACATTTGTAAGATAGTTGTTTTGTTCGCGATATTTTTTGTAACTGTCGTCTGTAGCTGATTTTTTGTATTTGTTCCATAGACCTCGTTTCTTTTCTATTTGTTTAAATATGAACTGGTTTAGCCACTGTTTCTGTGGGTTTGTTTGCTCAGCCAGAAAACTATTGACTTTTTCATAGTCTGCACTGAAGGAAGTTGCGTTTTAATATGGTTTTTGACGTTTTTGTTGAACTCGGTTTAAATTTTAGTTGACTTTTTCCAATGATGACATGGTCGCTCTTTCCTATGGGAAGCTCGGGTTCTGAGTTATATAGCAGTTTCTTAGAGCAAAAATCAAACAAGAAGAAGCCACACGCGTTATCGTTTGTCTCACTTTAAATAGGGGGGACCCAGAGAGAAAAGGAAATCTGGGCTAGAACTCTGTAACGGATAGCGATCAATATCTCTATCTCTAGTGGCGTCCCCTCTCTATTGATTTCGATAAGCGAGAAGAAGACAGCAAGTGCCATAGCGATAGGGATAAAGATCTCTATCCGTTACAGAGTTCCAGCCCTGCCTTCTCTGTCAGCGATGACGTCAATGGCTTCTTCTTGTTTGATTTTTACTCTATCATTGGTGAAGACTAGATCAAGTAGAGAAACTTGGTCATTCCGGAAACACGTTTTTGTTTTATTTCCTGAAGTTATGAAAGGCATATCTTCTAGTATGCATTTGTTTAACATTTTGTATGTCCATTGGTATATTATTTTAATTCTTGAAAAGTGATTTAGGTTTTTAAATCCTAATACATATTTATTTTTTGTTATTTCAGGTTCAATTGGCAACGAAAAAAGATAACTGGTCTGGCGGCATTGGAGGCGGCGGTGGCATGGGTGGTGGCGGCGGCGGTCGCGGAATGGGTGGTGGCCGTGGCGGAGGCGGCGGATTCGGCGGCGGCGGTGGTTTCGGCGGCGGTGGCCGAGGAGGAGGTGGAGGCGGATTTGGAGGTGGCGGTCGCGGTGGCGACAGAGGAGGTAGGAATATGGGAGGTAAGGTACTTCCAAATTTTCCATGTAGACATGTGCTAGCTTTGAAAATTGATCAAAATGCCTTGGACTATACTCCAAGACATTTTGTGAGCAGAGTATCGCTTTCTACTAGTCTTTTGGAGTAGCTTAGTTTCTTTTTAATGTTACTTTTTTGCCTGGGCTGTAGACAAGTTAATCTTGTTATTCCAGTGGGAACAAGCACATTCTTGCACAGTAATTCGTTAATAACACTGTGCATGATTTTGATTGTTTTGTGTATATTCAAACAAGTCCAAATAATCCTCATTTTTAAATATGTCCTTTCTGTTAATTTAGGTGGTGGTGGCGGCGGTGGTCGTGACCGTGAGTCCAGAGATGGCGACTGGAAATGCTCAAACCCGGATTGCTCAAACACAAACTTTGCCTGGAGAAATGAATGCAACCGGTGTGGGGATCCAAAACCTGCTGGAGCTGGTGGTAAGTTACTTCTTGCAAGCCACTTCTATTGAAAATATCCTCTTTCGCTCTGGGTAGAGATTCTTCAATATCTTTGTCTTATTTTAAAAAGAGGATAAATTAAAAATCTCTATCAAAACTCATCCTGGCTAAATAAATCATGGCTTTGAGTGAATCCTGTCTGGAGAAACAAATTATCCCTTCGCATGTGCATACATTTTCTTGGTATCTAAAACTGAATAAGTGAACCAATATATTTTTTCAATTTACATGCAACTTTAATTTGAAAATTGATGATGCAATTGTTGTATAAACGTTATTGGTGTCAAAAGATGACATTTAACTTTTTGACTGTGTTATTTCTCAAATTCTATCAACAACCAACTTTATAGTATGCTAAGGCATACATTTTTGTAATGTGAGTTTTGAAATTCTCTTATTTCAGGTGGTGGAGACGATAGACGTGGAGGTGGAGGTCGGGACAGAGATGGTGGTGGCCGCAGAGGTATGTAAAAAAATGCAAGATAAAACAAACCTTTCACATCATTACATCACAAAAATTTTTGAGACTAAATTTGCTATCTTAACAATAATAATAATAACATATTATATATTTTGTTTTTTTTTTTTGTTGCAGGTGGTGGAGGATTCCGTGGGGGCGACCGAGGTTTTGGCGGAGGTCGTGGCGGCGGCAGAGGTGGTGATAGAGGAGGCAGAGGATTCGGTGGAGGTCGAGGAGGTGGCGGCAGAGGCGGCGGCGGCAGGTAGGTAATAAACTTTCTTTTCCTTTTAAGTTTGATTATAAAATCGGTATTTGTGATTGAATCTGTTGATGTATGTAACATGTACATCTGTAGTTCATTTTTAAAGTGATAGTTCATCGAACTAACATAAAATATACTTGCAATATCAGATCAATCGCAAAAACCATCTGAAAAAAAAAGAATTTCATTTCCTCTTTCGCTCTCTGCAATTATAACATTATATTTTTGTCTGATTTCTATAAAGAGGATAAATTAATTTCTCCATTAAAACCAATCTCAGCCTACTTAAGTGGCTTTGACTGATCCTGTCTGGTGAAACAGTTTATTTATTTTTTCATACAAGGTCCGTTTTACATGCACTATAAAATATTGAGATCACTGTTTAATGGACTTGGTAAATAAACAACTCCTACTGTCCGCCCAAGTTAAGAACACCAGTTAAAAGAATGCGAAGAATTTAGGTTCATAGAAAACATAGTTGTCAGGTACACTCACTACAAAAAAATGAGGCGTTTAATAATTGTTAACAAATAAAAATTATTAAACGTCTCATTTTTTTGTAGTGAGTACCTGACAACTATGTTTCCTATGAACTTAAATTCTTCAAATTTTTTTTAACCAGTGCTCTTAACTTGGGCGGACAGTAGCTCTCAAATGAGATGATTCAATAAGATTATTGGCTCCTGTAATTTAGGTTGAAATCATTTTACATTGATATGAATTTTTTTTGTATTGATAACACATATTTAAGTTGTCCAGACACAAGGTGGTGATGAAAAAAAAAACATAAATGTCTGCTTGTAAAATGGCCCTAGTGCCAAATACCTTTAATTTTGAAAAAAAGTTAGTTGCTTCACATTAATTGTTTAATCTATTTTTTTCAGAGACCGAGGTGGTAGAGATGGTGGCCGACCGAAGCCATATTAATTTTATAATCAATAGTTTTAGATTAAGTACACTTTTTTTTTTGTTGTCGACATCCAATAATAATATTAGTTATTGGTATTTAGTGCAAGAAAGATGTACTGAAAAAGGTGAAAATCATGTATGATCAATACATAAAAGGGGTTGTTTGTTCTCTTCAAGATGAGATAAATTAGATGATTTAATCCTCTTCAAAAGCAATCTCTATAAGTTTTCGGACGCACCTTTTTCGGTTTTGTTTAAAAACATCTGACTTGTAGAATAAGTTTTGTAAAAATCCAATAATATGTGTTTTGTATTTATATTTATATGCATTGAAAAGTATGAGAGACTGTATATTAATTAATTTTTTTGTCAAATAAACAAAATTTTTAAAAATGTATTACGTATTAATTTTTTGACATTGTTACCTACCCAAAATTTATTCAAGGGGATGAGTGAGTGATGATGACTCATCAAACCAGGAAACAGTTTCAGGTAATCACATCAATAATAAAGCTTCCATCATCTCAAGATAATTTAATTTCTTCGATTTATTCTCTTTGTGCAAGGTTCAAAATCTGTTGTAATCAATCAAAATTTAGATGTAATGGGTAATGTGAAGAGTTATTTTTTTTGAAGCTAGATTGATATTTTTTAATTCTTGTTTTGAAAGATCTTCCTGTTTGCCCAATACATATATACTTTCCGACAAGTACTACATTTTAATAAGTACACTCCTGATTTGAATAGTTTATTCAATCTAGGTTTGTTATTTTTTATGAGTTTACCTAGGTTGCTATTGGTTCTGAAAGCCGTCTTTATTTTGTTATTGGAGAATTTTTTGGTAATAGTAGCTGTATGTAATAGATTTATATTTTTGGTAGTATACAGGGTATTTGGTACATCAATAGGAAGATTTCAATGAGTGATAGTTGGGGTCATTTGGAAGCTGTTTGACCATATTTACCCTCATGCAAAGTGTCGCCGTTTTTTTGAGATATCATTATTTTTAGATATTTTGAATCCATGCATTTTACCACATAACTTGTGCTACATATTTTTTGTATCAATCATTCGGTTTTTCTTTCCGTATTTTTTCGAAAGAGTGCATATTAGGAATATCGGAAAAAAATTGAGAAAAGTTAAAAGTCAAAAAAACCATATGTTTCAAAAATAATTTAAATATTTCCCAAAAATATCTAAAAAATGCTGATTTCTCTAAAACGACAAAACTTTGTAAGGGGTAAATGTGGTCAAACAGCTCCCAAATGACCCCAGCGTCCCCAACTATCACTCATTGAAAACTTCCTATCGATGTACCAAACACCCTATATATTCTTTGATAATGGATGGGCCAAGTTGATTTTCATTTGATAACGTTTTTTCTTAACCAAACTAAAGTTAATCTATAGGGTAGATGGAGGGTCAACAACCCAACCTTACCCTCAAATTTGAGATGCAAAGGCAGGGTACCTACATGTTTTAGTTGCTAAGGCCGTACCTACGTGTCCTACCCATTATTGGTAGGATTCTTAATTATTATTATTTTTTGTAGCCTGCGTTTGTGACTCAAATTTGAAAGTGGGTTTACAGGTTTAAGTAGCCCTATTGACTTTATACATTTCAATTTATGAATCACATCAATAAGGGTCTAGTCTAGTAAAAATAGAAACTGGTATTTAAATGTATGTATGCCAATGCTATAAATAGTGTAGGTACCTACCTACTTACTTATGAACTTTTAATAAATGTAGCTATTCAATAAAAACCTTGTTTATCGTATTTTCGTTATTTCTATTCGCTAAACAATTTCCTATTATCGCAAAAAATGGGTATTTTTCTGTGATTAGCTAGTGACATAAATATTTGTCAAACCTGCTATATAATTACAACAAAATATACCTACCCATTATTTGAAGATAAACAATGATACCTACTTGATGTATCCATGCAAACGACATATTGATGCATAATTTAATTATATATAATTATCATTGTTCGTTTAGTAGAAACAGGAATAATCTAGGGCCATGTATAATAATTTCAAACTTTCCTTGAACTCAATGTTTTTCTTAGCCACGTCACAAGTGATTTAATTATTTAAGGGCTTTCTAATGAATTAAATACATGGATAGGTATTTATTTGGAATAAGTCTTAAATATATTTCGAATTTTTGTTCATATAAATTTTATTTGGAGTAGAATAAAATACATTGTAGGTACCTAAGCACAAAACATAATTAGGCAACTACGTTTGCGACCTCTAATCAGTTATAATCCAATATACAAGAAATAGATTTAGGTAAGTAGGTACCTATGCCAATTTATGCAGATTTTGGGGATGGTACAATTAGGCAACTTTAGTTTTTTTCCTTGGGTCTCTAGGAATTTCCTTATACTGTATGTGTCTTTTTGTAGTAAAGATCGGAAAGTTCTCTGTCCATAGTTCTCAGCTCATATCTTGGAGCTTTCTTTGTCCTAGAAATATACAGGGTGTTTAACGAACATCGAAAGGCGTTTTAGGGTATTTTATGGTCGAATTTAAAAAAAACAACCGCTAGGATGCACCTCCTGGGTGAGGTGACTTTCACCCCTCTTTTTTGATAGGAAAGATGGGTCCAGTGGTAGGTTCCTTGCTTTAAAGGTATTTTGATTCTCGTCACAGGTGCGTATTTTTTTCGAAAATCGAATGAATCTTTCTCAAGATATTCACTGTCAAAGTTGCTTCCGCTCAGACACGTCAATTTTCAATTTTTTGAGTGCTTCTGAAAAATTGACGGTGATTGGAGAGACATCGCAAAAATGGCAATTAGATTAGCCCAGACCTTCTAAATTAAGAAAAAAACATGTTCAAGCAAGGAGCCCATTTCATACAAACCACAATTATCTAGGGTTTCCCGTATCAGCTTATAATAATAATAATAATGAAAGAACTTTATTTATACTGCACACATTACAGGTGCACATCTGCCTTAGGGCTAACTTGTTTTTGTTTTGGGGATGCAACGTTTAAATATAATATTTCATGTTTGATAGAAAAGACTTAGAAAATGATCTACATCATCACAGTTTGATAGAATCGATCAATCCTGCTCTTGTAACAAGAAATATAACTGATAATAGTCTCCCCTCTTAAAATAAGGTAACTTCAGATTTTACATTTGTTTTGACAGTATTTCTAATTTCAAAACTTGATAATAATCTATTACACCCACTAGAGTATCATCAAGGCAAGCCGTCACCTGGGCCTCTGTAATATTTGTAAGTACCAGGTCAAGTGTGTTACCAGAATTGTTTCTATTATCATTGATAGAATAAAGGTCATATTCGGTGATAAGGTTATTTATTGTATGACGCACATACAAACCTACACAGCTACTGGAAATCAACAGCAGAACTCTTACTTATGATGACCACCTCTAGAAACACTAATACAATGCTAATACATCTTTGACATATCACATCCCATTCGGCATTTAAGATTTTCTGATATACCTCAGCAGATACAATATATTAAAGGTTTCATTTAAAGTTTGATTCAAAATTTGATTGCCTATTACTAGAATATTTCTCCTGGGACGAAATGCATCATTGCTTGACCACGGTGTATGTAGTTCAATTACATATTTTCAAATCCTCGAATGACTTTATTATACAGACTAGACATTCTTGGCTAGGACGAGAAGACCACAAGAAAAGTACAAAACAAAATAATATTTATTTAACCAAATAAACCTTACACACTACATGATTATAATTATTAATAAATACAACTACAGATTTTCAATTTGAAAAAATCACAACTCCCAAGATATATTTTAAATATTTTGGTTCATTTTGTTGATTTTTTTAAAAAATTCAGCACAAAAATCATAATTACATTACGCATTTGCGTATATATGTATATTTTTTGTAGATCCAAGAAAGATTCATGTTTCAATAAGCATTCATTCGGACACCTAAATTAAAGGGAGGAATTTCGAAAAATATTTATTATTGCATTTTCACAAACAATTTTAAAGCTAACTTATTTTTCTCAATTTTAAATACATGTAATAGAAATAAGTAGGTATGATTGAAAACCTCCAAAACCAAAATTAATAAGTCTTCAGTTATCAGTTTCTTCTCTTCTTCCTCTGGTCTTCTTCCTGTAACAAATAAAACAAAATAAATCCATATATTCAGAAGGTGCCAAACGCATAATGATTTTCTAAAAATTATATGAAATTACCTTCTGAGTCAAAATGATCAGCAATCTCTTGAAAATTCCAAGTACATCAATGAACAAATCCAAAGAGTGGGCTACAAAGTCCTTGCTTCCCATTCTCCTTTTCTCAATTATAGCTTGAGTGTCATACAAAACGAAACCGCACATGGCCAACAGTCCCAGGTAAACTTGCGCATTCCACAATAAAGTTGAACCAAAGAAGATGTTTGCAAAGCTCATGAGCATCAAACTGTTCAGGACGGTGAACAAAATTCCACCCAAGTACAACCATTTACCTCTGTCTGAGAATATGGCGCAAAGAGTGAATGATACGAAAACTACACTTGTAGCAATAAAGGCGGTAACAACAATGCTTGGGTCAACTAGGATGACATGCTCAAGTAGGGGCCCCATTCCAACGCCACTCAAAGCAGAAAAACCAAGAAGGTATCCCACTCTTTTGGTCATTCCTTTGCCATTGTCGTCTGGTGTTGATATCAGTAAGAAAAAGCAGACCAGGGCTCCTATGGCGGAGAGTAAGCCTGCTTGAAGGATATTGGTGAAGAGGTGTACTGATGCTCCTACACCAGCAGCCAGGGTAGACATGGCCAAACAAGCATAAACATTTTTCAAATGCTGTTTAACTGGGGTTTCCCTGAAACAAATAAAAATAAATTTAGTCTATTGTTTCAAGTCAAAAATATTCAGTATTAATGAAATTATTCATATAAGTGTGATTAAAAAGAATTTTTTGAATGTTGTTGCAATTATTGTTTTTTAATATTCACTGCATAGTTACAGAAAATATATTAGACATTGAAATATTTGTAGCAGCATACATTAGTGATAAGTGATAAATTACCATAGACATGACTAGTAATTAGGTTTATGTATGGTGGGCCATTCAAAACCATCCACTTCAAAAACTTTGTAGTAAGAGTTTCTAAAGAGAAAACCAAGCCTGAGGAGAGCTCCCTATGTCAATTTTTGCTGGAATTAGTGGAGTAAAGTTTCACCTGTGCGCTTTTTAAAAGAAATTAGGAAAAATACCAAAATAAACATCCTCTTGAAAGTAATTATTTATAGCCAGGTAAAACAATGCTATATTGGTTCAATATTTATTAAGAGAATACTTTGAACAAGGAACTCTTATCAGCTGTACAAAACACTAGAACAAACAGATAAAAATTTATATAGAAATAATAAAACTGAAAGTAAAAAGGAAATATTTAAAAAAACTTGCTATATCAACACTGGGTGGGCCATTCAGAGTAATCCGCACAGTAAAACCACATACAGCTAGTTGAAAATACATACTTGTTAAATGCGATTTTGGAATATGTTTATCTTTTTTGTTAATAACTCAAACAATCATTTTATCACATAATCTAAAATCGAGTCTAAAATATTAAAATATAAAGTGCCAAGGTGTTCTACGTCATATATGTTTCTTGTTGAATTGAAAAGTATTTTCAAATATCATAAGGAGGTTGAAGCAAGGGATCAAGTTGATATATAGATAGATAGTTGTTTAAGGGGGGTTAAAGCCTCTCAAAACACTAATATGTTGAGAACAGTGAAGATTTAAAACTAGTTAATAGAGCTAAGGTGGGGGGGAGTAAATAACATATAAATCAAAGTTAGTTCGCTGTTTAAAGAGGAAATATTTTCCACTATTTTAGTTCTTTGGAAATTTTTCTTTCCTCATAACTTGGAATAAGTAGACTTTTTCTATTCTATTTAAATGTTTACCAGTTTTTCTGTGTCAATGAAACTGGTATGGTTGAACGGTTGATGGTCTCTTTGGAAATGCATTATTGTAGTGCATATTTCCAAAAAAGTGCAAACAATTTTCAATAAAATTTCAGGAAATAATAGAAATATTCCACAATCAGAGCTTTAATTTTAAGCTTGCCTTGAAATTTTAGTATATTGACCTTTGGCGATTGTAAAGAAACCAATAAAATAGTTAAAAATAAATTTTAATGCTAAATGAACTATGAGTGAATTACGTGGCCTATTAATTTTTACTCTCGCTTATACTTTTTTATTTTCCAAGAATTAACTAAATCTCATTCTGAGGAAGTTCCCCTGGAGCATTTTATTGTACTTGATGTGGACTTGCTAATTGTATTTTTGTTTTTTTTGGGAATAAATAAGTATTTGAATATTTTTGGATACCTATTTTCTAAGTAAAGTTTGTTATTTTTCCTGGGACACACACAAGAGCCTTCAAGTATTTACGAATTTGATAAAACTACTTTTGCAAAGTTGACAATTTTTCTATGCAAAGAAATAGAAAACAAAATCAGTCCCAGGTGATGCCAATTTTGCTGTTTACTTGGCTGTTCATATTATTATTAGGATCAAGGCCAAGACAAATCAACAAATCTCAGAATAAAAAATAATATAAGTGCTTCCAAAATAATAATAGGTACACTTTTAGGCAATAGTGAACCCAGAACTTAATAATTCCCCGAGTTTATAAATGCATGAGAAAATATATTTGTGAAAAAGAGAGACAAGTATTTAAATGGCATCCAGTATAAGGCCAGTTGAAAAAATAATTATGGTGCAAATTTAATTAATAGGGATGTATGTACAGGGTTGCCAACTTTTGAAATTGGTTTACCCAGAGATTTTTCCGCTATTGAAATAAAAATGGTGTTTCCCGAAAATATATTAATTGAAACAGCAAAACAAACATAAAAAAAATCAAAAACTAAAAATCAAATAGTTCATGCCAGCTACAACAAAGTAAACCTCGGAGTAAACACTAGGTCTGTTTCTGCAGAAATCACAAACCAGTCGCAGCAAATTTCATTGGTTGAAAACAGTCAGAAAACTAGTTTCAACTAATGAAATTCACTCTGACTGGTTTGTGATTTCTGCAGAAACAGACCTATTAAAATAAAAACCAATTTTTCGTGACGAACTACTTCCATAATTTCATGAACACAAACGCTTTCGCTAGAAACCCATGACGTCATATTGAATGTAGTTTGACGGAAGCATGGATGCAGCTTCTAGCCAGCATTCAAACTAATGACGTCACAGACGAACTATGGTTCGTCCTTGGATAAACTACATTCGTCGCGAAAATTCGGTGAAAACCTATACAATGTTGAAGACATTTTTTTGACAGTTCTAACAGTTAAGCTGGATTTATAAACTTGAGTTTGGCGTTGCCGTCGAACATGAACCATATGTTTCATTAACAAGCATTTATAAACTCGAGTTTCGCGTTGCTGTTACGTCGAAGATGACCATCTTTTAAGTTTGTCGTTGTGTTCGCAGTTGCTGGCCAACAGCGGGCTAATAGAAATCGAGTACAGGGAGGGGCATGCGCAAACATCAAAAATAAAAATGACAAGCTCAGAAGGGTGGGTGGTGTAGCCATGAGGAGTTGTTTACTTTTGAATTTGGATTTCTATTCTTTGATTAATTTTGTTCTGTGTTTTGTTCAGAAGTATTGAACACAAGTTTCAAATGAATGAATACAAAGTTTTGAGGTTACAATAATATGAAATAGGTATCAAAACCAGCTGATAAGATTTCCAATGTCATAAGCCAACCAATCAGATGCTCAACAACTAACGGAACGACGAAGTTTATAAATCACTTCCAACCTTGAAACTCGAACTCGATAACAGCTACTCGAACTACAACTGCAACGCGAAACTTGAGTTTATAAATCCAGCTTAACAGCTAACAGCTAATTAAATTTAGATATTTTTTGCCATGTGATACAAATCATCCCATTTCAACAATATACTTAAAACAGATCTCATGGGCTGTGTTTTCATTATATCACCTTGTTTCTCTGTATTTGCCAGTATTTAGTTCTATATATTTGTTCCAACACATCCATATCTAAAATTTGTGCGTAGAATCCAAAATTTGTATACATACAGAGTGGTTCCGAACGTGGTTTTGGACGTGTTAAAACAGACCTTTAATATGCGAAAAATTTTCTATTGAGCAATTTGAGGTTAAAATGCATTGTTACGACGTTGCCATGCCATTCAAGTTGCAATAATTTTTCAGAAAACATGTTTTATGATTTTCATATAACTCCTACGAGTTCTACCCGGAGAAATATACATGTAATCCGGAGACCACATAATTACCATGAAAATCCAGAGACTCCGGGTCAAAACCGGAGGGTTGGTAACCCTAGGGATGTAGGAGTTGGAACTGAAATTTTTTTGCAAGAATGGCTGATCTACCTATTGGAACTAGTAATCATGACTGCAACACACAAACTAAAAGTGCTGAGTAATATTGGACAATCCACATGCGAGCTCATATTTTTAGCCGAGTTAGGACTCCTTGGTTTCTCTATGTTTTAGTGAATAATTGAGGATGAATTTGTTTTGGAATATAACTTTTGAAGTGTAACTGTAGTTGAGTTGAAGTGTTCTGTAGGAGCTATAAAAGCTTTGTCGAAATATTTCTAAGAGAATTTAAATTCAAGTTGCTTATTTTTGTGGATATTAGCAAGCTTATGGCCATTAGTCAGGGCTTCAAGCTGAGAATGCTAATTTGAGTGAAGGTTTAACAAAATACTGTATAGCAAAAAATAGCATCAGACGAATCCCAACTTTGCAGACTGGACCAGTCAGTAGTTTGAAGAACTAAGAAATAACAGGAAAGATTATGCATTTATTAAGTATCCATCAGGAAATAAATAATAGAGAAATGCACTCGAAATGCATCACCATTAATAAATTATTTAAGAGTTGTGGAGGAGTGCTACTCCTCAAGTGAAGTGTTGGGAGAGAGAATCTCGCATGAAAAGGTCTCCTTTACTTTAACTTAGGAGAAAGTCAATCTCTCAAACAAGCTTTTATGAGGCATCTCCTAGGTATAGTATGTGTAACCTTTTTAATATTTTCGCCAGCGACCTGAGGCGGGATTGTGTAACAGATAGAGATAGTTATCCCCCCGGTTATCCCTATTGCTATGGCACTTGCTGTCTGTAACGATAAAGTAAAAGAAAACGACACACAAACAAGCTGTTTGTTCTATAGGACTATAATGAGTGGTACAAACAAGATTAAATTACCCCCTCCATGGATTGTTCTAGATAGCCCCAGATGTTATTTCTAGCCACACATATCAGCTAATTTTGAAGCATTTCTAATACAATTATCAAAAAAAAAAAAAAAAAAAACACAAATGGAGCTGTTTTTTTAAATGTCATGTATTGTGACATCACTGTAGGATGTCACCTGCAATCCCTTTTCTACTTTAGCCCAATAATCGACCATTTTAGTTGAATTTACGCAGTAATTTTTTTTTTGTCAAATCTAAATAAATTATGGATCAATTTCATACTTACAGCTTGTTATTGAAGGAATTTATGAAACTATTTATATTCAACACTGATGCCATGATTCTGGCCGTTCTTTTAGGATTTCCTTATAATAATTTCACTGATCTGAAGAGATGAGACGTAAAAATCCAATATAATAACCACGCAACGAAAATTCACTGTTCTAGAATCTAAAAATCGTCCGTAAGCTTTCACTTCAGGTTCTCTCGAAGTTTGGACTTGAACTGATAAAATTTCACAAGGAAAACATATAAATTCTCGATGGAATTAATCGAACCATAGAAATACGAACACGTCAGGGATAAGTCAATTTTCCAGAGAAATCGACAACAAAAACATGGCGTACGGCTATTTCATTGGTCCACGAGGTCACATGAGAACACGTCATTTTTTAAAGGCGCTTTCTATTATTGAACAATCAACCGGTTTTTGGGTGAGGTATCAAAACATGTCGTTCGGACTTTAGTTCTAGAACCGTCCCGAATTGGATTTGAATTGTCAATTTTGCGTTTATGAGGGCTGTGGTTTATGACATTTCTAGTTCCGTTCATATTTGGAAATGTCCGAACGGTGTCAAATATCAAAATGATCTGCCCCATCACGAAACGAAATGACACCGTTATTTTAGGTTTTACTGTTATAATTTCGAGTTTAATTTTGTCGCACTAACTTGAACTGAGCTGTAATATTTCAGGTTATAGCAGATAATAGTTGTATTCCTTCCAAGAGTAAACACTCGAGTTACTCGCTCTGGTGTTAGTCGCGCCCCGGAGCTGTTCCGGAGCTCCTCCTAGGTGTGAAAGAAATACAACTAATAATAAAACGTTCGTCAATTAATTGCCATAACACAAACGAACGCCCCAAAACAGAAAGTGCTCCTCCGAACAGCACAAACTCAAACCACTCGTTTTGTTTTAAAAAGACAAATAAAAGTATTGACATGAACAGCTGACGCGTCCGCAAATGAGTAGTGTTGCCAGACGTAGCGGAATTTCGCTATTTGTAGCGGATGTTTTTGTATATTGCGGCGTAGCGGCGGTAACCCAAAAAACCCGAAATGTTGCGGAATTCGGGATTGATTTGAAATATTTCACAACTTTACCAAAAAGGTTCGAAGTGATTTGAACTAATGCGTGTGAATAGTTCCTCAATTACTGTATTCCTTTTATAGATCGAGTGACACCAAAAGAGCTCCTCGGAGTCACTCCAAAACACACAATTTTGATTTTATCATTATTTTTTAATGTTAACATCACCGTCATTACCTAAAAGGGCTTCTTGCACTCCACGCAAATTTGGTGCATCAGGGGAAAGGGGGATGCACTCTGAGCGACTCGAGTGTTTAACGCATTTTTAAAAGGAACGTTCAAGCTTTTGACAATGGGTTTTCTGGTAATAGTTGTAATCCTTTCACACCTAGGAGGAGCTAGCGGGGCTTCACGCACTTATTCCTTTCGAAAAGTGTTTGTTGCACCACGCATATGTTCCCTGCAAATCGGGGGCGACTAAGCACCGAAGCGAGTAGCTTGTGTTTCAAGCTCTTGAAAGGAATACAACTATTGGGTAACTTGATGACGCATCTGGGGTGCCTTACGGAGATTTGCATAATGTTGAGGCACCTCAGATGACGTCATACAGTTATCAGCATCCTACCTCTCTCAAATAACCTTGATCTAGTAACTCATTTGAGTTAACGAATAGGGCAATCCAATCAAGGAGAATACAGACTCAGAGTGCTTATCGGCCTCGTTGTTGGTAATCGCTGCCATATTGGTGTGATACCATTTCTGACGTCATAACTAAGTCGTCAACTGTTTAAACATCCTACGTCAATGCCAGAAATAACATGCTGCTACGTCACAACTGGTATTTTGTAAAACTAATAATTGCGATTCATCGAAAAAATGGGTTTTTGTGAAAATATGGACATTTCCACCCTAGTCTCGGGCACAAACAGTACTGGAAATTATAGGCAGTACCAAAATACATCGTTTGGGGAATCTCACTTAACTTGCAAATTACTTTGAGGGTGGTTTGAGGGGGTAAAACTAATAATTGCGATTTATCCAAAAAAGGGTTTTTGTGAAAATATGGACATTTCTACCCTAGTCTCGGGCACAAACAGTACTGGAAATTATAGGCAGTACTAAAATACATCGTTTGGGGAACCTCACTTGACTTGCAAATTATTTTGAGGGTGGTTTAAGGGGGTAAAACTAATAATTGCGATTCATCCAAAAAAAGGGTTTTTGTGAAAATATGGACATTTCCACCCTATAGTCTCGGGCACAAACAGTACTGGAAATTATAGGCAGTACCAAAATACATCGTTTGGGGAACCTCACTTGACTTGATGCATATTATTTTGAGGGTGGTTTAAGGGGGTAAAACTAATAATTGCGATTCACTATACAGATCCACTGTAATACATTGATAATTGCACTTCTCTTATGGGATTTATTACACATGAGGAAAATATTGACAATGACATCATCAAATAATAAATAATAACTATTCAAGTAAACTGAAGACAACTTTAACGGAATTGGGAGTTTAACAACAAATGGATAAATTTACGAGAATTACTGAAGTGGAGAAGGAGCCTCAACAATAGATTTATTATGGTTACTAGATATAAAGACATTAATTTTGAAACACATTTAACACCAAAAATTACAGATTATGTGATTATAACTTTGGAGGAATTCGATAGAAAAACAATATATGAAACGGAAGAAAAGAATACGTGATTACAGCAGATTCAATGAACTGGAATTTCAGCTTAATCTGATGGATAAGGAATGGAATTCTGAATTTCACTTAGAGGAAACATCACAAAGTCTAGTGGCCAACATATCCAATACTTCAAAGGAAAAAAGCGCGTGAAGCCCCGGAGCTGTTCCGGAGCTCCTCCTAGGTGTGAAAGGAATACAACTATTCCTAGTCAAAACCATTAACGAACAACTGAAATCCATTTTAACGTGGTTACAATATAATAATCTCAAATTAAATATTGAAAAGACTAAGTTTATGATGGTGAAAAATAGGGGCACAACGCGAGATGATCAATTACATCACGGTGTAGAAATAGATGGCATTCAAATAGAAAAAGTGACGGGATTCAAATATCCGGGAGTTATTATCGACCAACATCTAACTTTTAGCAACCATGCGACCTATGTAATAGTGGAGTTCCCTCGTACGAAATTTTGGAAGAAAACGCCAAATTGGGTTACAAGCATGAAATTTGGCATAATTGTCAGGAAGCTCATTTTAATAGATCTGACCCGACTAGCCAGGCTCTACGACCCTCAAGACTCCCAATCTCGCATTTTTTTTTCAAAATGGCGTACGGGAATTTCCTCAATTTCAAAATTAATTCACTTGGGCATGATTATACATTTTATTATATAATTTGAGGTCAAGGAATTCAAAAAAAAAAAAAATTAAAACGATATGACCTTCAGTAACCTTAAAAATTACAGTTTAATTCAATTTTAAAATAATTTTAATATAACATGTTTGAAACCACCAAAAGAAGGGGGTTAAAAATAAAAAATGATTGCTTAGCATAACATAAAAATTAAAATATCTTATCAAAGACGAAAATTTTCTTTTATGATAGATCAGCGCTGGCTGATGCGGTAGTACTAAGGTACATGAAGCCATGTCATTACCTTATTTTTCACAGAAATGTTTTAAAGTATCATATGAAGGATACAAAATCTTTTTTTTTTCAGAAAAATAAGGTATTGCCATGGCTCCGTGGCACCGTGGCACTACCTCACCAGCCGCTTCCACAGATACTGCAAACTATAGGGATCGTTGGTTTTGACATTCGCCATTGCAGTTAGTACATGCGGGTGTACAAGGTAGACCTGCTTTCTGACACGAACATCTATTGGTCTCACTTTGACTTTTACATCCACACTTCTCTAGTAGGTACTCTAAGAGCTCACCAAATTTGTGCTAGCTGGCTCCCAACGGTTGTTGGTTAAATTCAAACCCCATCCTCCAGGCGGTGGAACAGATTCACCGGGTGGCATATTCATTTTCTGCCAACGTAATAGGACATTCGGCTGCATTCGTGTTCGTTCGAACACAGCGTAGGCAAATTATCATTGGAGTGGACTAACGTTGGCAGTTTAAAGCCTGTCTGGCGTTCGGGAAAATATTCTCTAAATAAACTCAGTTGGAAAGTGGCAGTTATTGTTAGCTGTAGGTACCTTTTAATGCGGAATGCGATAACGAATGAAGAAATACCTTTATTACAAGTTTAAAAATTAATCACCGTGTCTATTCAAAGGCCCCAGAACTTTTTTGGTAGATTTGAGTTAGTTTCGGTTGGTTTGCGTTAGTATGGGTTATTTTTGGTTGATTTAGGTTAATTTTGGTTGAAAAATCGTACTAGGCGCTGTTCCTTTCTATTTCCTTTTTTCAAGCAAAGACATGAAGAGTACCTAATAGAAATTAACCCAAACTGACCCGTGCTGGAAATGCGACCCAATCTCTGTTTCTGAAGCTGATCAAATAGCGGAAAAAGAACGCGTATTAAAAACAGAGCGCATGTATGTAATATTGAATTTTGAATAAATATTACGAGTCACTGAAGTTGGTTTCTCTGACATTGTGCGACAGAAACACAGGCGTTCAGATGAACATTTATTTCACAACAACAAGAAGAGAAAAAAGATCTTTTGTATTTTGAACTTTCCATATTTTCGACATTTTGCATTTCCGACATTTCTCAATTTTTACCTTTTGCATTTTCTTATTTCATTTTTTTTAGCTCACATTATAAAATAGTTAGTTTCTATCGAGTAGTTCCAAAGACATCGGTAGTTCTTTCTACCACAATATTATGTCATTCATTGTTTTAGCTGAAATGTTCATGTAAATAAAATTCTTATCTTTTATCTTGCCTTCCTTTGAATAAAAAACATTTATCGGACCTAATTATCAATAAAATGCTTGTAACATACAGTCACATGAAGTGCCAACGTCTGGTTGCGATGCTCATATTCTGCTAACGCTTCATGGCGCAGGGCACGAATTTAGCCGAATATCAGTTGCGTTGGCAAAAAATGAATATGCCACCGGGTGACAGCGATCGACCCCATATTTAACCGGCTTGATACGCAGCTCTTCTGTAGTCTTCCATTAGACTGTATTGTGACGGTGGACACATGGATATTGGTCGTTCTCCACTACGAAACTGCACCTTTCTCAATTTATTAACTTTTTCAACAGATCAGTGGTGGCTGGTGCGGTAGTGGTAAGGTACATGAAGCAATGTCATTACCTTATTTTTCATAGAAATGTTCCAAAAGTATCGTATGAAGGTTAGGTTATAAAACCTTTTTTTCGGGTTTTGACATTCGCCCTTGCAGTTAGTATATGCGGCCGTACTATAGCTTTCCTATACGAACATCTGTTAGGTTAGTTTCACATTGACCTTTACAGCCACACTTCTCTAATCCTCTTAAAGCTCACCAAATTTGTGGTATGTATATCTGTGGTACTATACAGGGTGTCCTTAGATAAACTGACACATTTTGTAGGTAAATATCTCGAAAACGGGAAAAGATAACGAGATGCGGTTTGTTCTGTGAGAATAGGGATTTTTCAAAGTTTTTTTCCACATTATTGCCGAATCCTGAAATTTGCTGGAATTTGATTTTACAGACATGCGATTTTTTGAAATAAAATAACTGCCTTATTTTTAATGAAACACCCCATATCTTTTGTGATTGTCAGAAAGCCTGATTTTTCTACTTTACAAAAATGTATAATTTTTTTCAATTATCTTGAACTTGCATCGTGAAAATTGCACGTTGTCGAAAGGAATACCATCGACTAACTAAAAAAAAAAATTGAGATTCAATTTGTGTTTAATACTTTTAATAACTAATTAGGGCATAGTTAACTAATAATACAAGAATTGAACACAAATAAGTGCATTTAAAACACAAATTAATTCTTATAATTTTTTTTTTGTCCAGTCGACGGTACGCCCTTCAACCAAGTGCAATTTTAACGATTCAATTTCATGATAATTGAAAAAAATTAAACATTTTTGTGAAGTAGAAAAGTCACGCTTTCTGATGATGACAAAATATACTGGGTGTTTCATCAAGAATAAGGCAGTATGTTATTATTTCAAAAAATCGAATGTCTGTAAAACCAAATTTCAGGATTCGTCAATATCATGAAAAAAAACTTTAAAAAATCTTTATTCTTCCAGAAAAAACCGCATCCCGTTATCTTTTCTCGTTTTCGAGATATTAACCTCTAAAATGTGTCAGTTTATCTAAGGACACCCTGTATATTAAAGCCAGGGTTGCCTTCAGATAATCTTCCCATGCTTTCCATGCTGTTTTTTCCTTTCAATGCAAAAAAGGAAGTAATGTCGCACCCCGTAAAAGCGACGCAGTGCTTACGATTTTTCCCAAATGATTTGCAACGTTATGAGCTATAATATATCTTTGTGATTTGCTAACCCCATATAGATACCATAATTCCTCAAGGCCTGAGGAGTTCAATATATAAAAAAATTATATTCCTATTATTGCAGCTGTGTCCGAGAATCGTACTGGAACGGATTTAGCTCCATTTTGGGCCAAATGTTTAACATAATGTCAAAACCAGTCTGGATGGACTATCTTGTACCGACATGGGGGAAGCAGATGGAAGAATGTTTCTACATGTTAAGTCCTTGACCCTTGAGGAATTATGGTAGCTTGTATATGGGGTTAACAAATCACAAAGATATATTGCAGCTCATAACATTGCAAATCATTTATTGGGACCTAAAAAATATTTAGCATTGCGTGGCTTTTAGGCTTTTAGGGGGTGCGAAACTACTTCCTTTTTTGCATTCAAAAGAAAAAAACAGAGAATGGAAAGCACATGGAAAGCACATGGAAAGATTATCCAGAGGCAACCCTGCCCATCCATCATTTATCTCTAATGATCTCTAATAGTAGCACAGATATAGCACAAAAAATATCCAAAATTTTAGAGAAATTCACTATACCAGTATATGATGCAAAAAGCAAATAAATTGAGAAAGGTGCAGTTTCGTAGTGGAGAACGACCAATAGCCATGTGTTCACCGTCACAAGACAGTTTAATGGAAGACTACAGAAGAGCTGCGTATCGAGCCAGTCAAATATGGGGTCGGGGTCGATCGCTGTCACCCGGTGAACCTATTCCACCTCCTGGAGGATGGGGTTGGAATTCAACCAACAACCGCTGGGAGCCAGCTAGCAGAAATTTGGTGAGTTCTAAAAGAGTAGAGATGTGCGGAGTCAAAGTGAAACCAACAGATGTTCGTATCAGAAAGCAAGTCTACCTTGTACTAACTGCGATGGCGAATGTCAAAACCAACGATCCCTATAGTTTACATTAGCTGTTAAAGCAGCGTCTGGTGAGGTAGTGCCATGGTGCCACAGAACCATGGCAATACCTTATTTTTTTGAAAAAAAAAAAAGATTCTGTAACCTTCATATATGATACTTTGAAACATTTCTGTGAAAAACAAAGTAATGCCATGGCTTCATGTACCTTAGTACTACCGCTTCAGCCAGCGCTGATCTATTATAGAAGAAACTTTTTGTCTTTGATAGGACATTTTAATTTTGTTATGCTAAGCAATCATTTTTGATTTTTAACCCCCCTCTATTGGCGGTTTCAAACATGTTATATTAAAATTATTTTAAAATCGAATTAAACTGTAGTTTTCAAGGTTACTGAAGGTCATATCGTTTTGAAAATATTTTTTTTGAATTTCTTGACCTCAAATTATATAATAAAATGTATAATCATGCCCAAGTGAATTAATTTTGAAATTGAGGAGATTCCCGTCGGCCATTTTGAAAAAAAATGCGAGATTAGGAGTCTTGAGGGTCGTAGAAACTGGCTAGTCGGATCAGATCTCTTAAAATGAGCTTCCTGACAACTATGCCAAATTTCATGCTTGTAACCCAATTTGGCGTTTTTTTTTTGTGTAGGCTCTCCACTATAATGAAAATACCAAAGAAAGTATATGCATTGATTGTGTCGTATGCGTAATACTCTTTTGTGTGAACAAAAACTTTAATGTAAATCTGTTATACAACCACATTTGTTCTATTGTCCAACAGTATTGTTTACTTTAACTAATTCTGAAATAGCATAAATAGAAAAGAAAAGAGACAAAACATGGCACTATGTGTTATTCTCAACTGTAATCGATGTACAAGTATAGAGACAATGTTACAAACCGTGGGGGTTCTAAGTGTAAAAAACTTTGATCAAAGAAATGTTTTTCATAATGGATTAAAAACTCACAATTATTTACCAAATGATGTTAAGCATTCTTCTAATTTGAAGGAATTTACAGGATGTCCTTTGTTTATGGCGAATACAATTCCTGTGTAATTGTTACATTATAGAATGATTCTCAAATTATGTACTTTATTTCCATTTTTGCTAGCTTTAAGCTAATAATAAAGATTATTCATCTATTTTATAAAGATGCAATCAATTTTTTTCTATGCAGTCGAAAACGATGCAAGTGTTTGCCTGGTTTAGAATCATTGAGGCTAACCAGATGATTGGTGTGGGATATTGGTATGTCACCCCAGTAACTGTCCATCATGTGTAATTTGTAGACTTTTAATCCGCCATCCCTTGCCAATTAAGCGAATTACCCATGCCTTATGATGCAGTGATCATATGTCAAATTATGATTAGGCTATCCTATTTGAAAGAAGCCATAGAAATCAACACCTATGTATATAAAATATTTATTGAATTTTGGTTTATTATAGAAATTATTACAATACTGATTTGTTACCTAATTATGCTTTTCTATTATTACACCAATCATATAATGGGCAGGGCAGATGTAAACTGGGTAACCTACTTAATCTAAATTCTAAATCATAAGTTGAAGAGAATATAATCTAAATGCTTTCAAATATTAATTAAAGCTGTATATTGCAAACCAGAGGATACAATCTAAAAGCTTTCAAATATGAATAAAAGCTGCATTACGTCTAGAGTTAGGAAATATAAATGTTAGGAAAAATATAAATGTTAGGAAAAATATAAATGAAGGCCTATATATCTATGGTGGGTGAGCTAAAGAGTACAAGTCAAAATTTTGCGAAAATGAGTTTAAGTCATTTTGGTATATATTTTCGGTTCCTACATCGACTGGTCCAAACAGTATGAGTCAATTTATTTGAAATACTTTAATTTTAATTTGAATCCACATAGTTTAACTTAGAAGGAATTTTATTCTGTTGGGCATATCAGTATAAGTTGAATTGTACTATTTAGATTATACACTATAATAAAATTTAAATAGTACAAGTAGACTTATACTATTCCTATCCTGATTTTGTCAGTCGACTTATACTCTTAGTACCATTTGGTGAGCAAAGAGGTGATGTTATCAGCAAAAAAAAAGTGTTTTGTGAAAAAGAGTTGGCCTTCTTTTCCAGTTTTTGCAAATATCAAATTTTGGGTTGAGCAAAACTAGTATAAGTCATTTCTTAGGTCAGGTCAAAATATTATAAGTCATATTATCTTATTTCATAATAATATATGTCATCTATAGGTCTGGTCAAAAGAGTATAAGTCCATTTTTTTTTGTAATAAAAAAAAAACAGAACAAAAAAAAAATAAAAAAATAGATTATCTCTAATAAAAAAAAACCTTTGTAAAGTTAAAAATTCGATTCGTCCGAAACAGCCACAAAAAATCCGATTATTTTAAAGTCTGATATTTCGAAAGCATTTTTCTTGATTTGTCTAATTTTGACTTGTACTCTTTAGCCCACTCACCATAGATATAATATTGGCAATTCTCAATCACACAAAATAACCGGCCTTTTAATAACTACCTGATGTTTTTATTGCTTGCTATTCCTAGTAATGCGTACTAGTCCTCATAGCTTTATACCTTATTTAGTAAAACAAAACACAATAATAAATGTCCATTAGGTATACCTAATTTATTTTTAAACCATGACATTGAATTTTTAAAACTAACTTTGGGTCAAGATCACATATCAGATTTTTTCCAGGTAAGGTAAACCCCTAAACTTGGTTCCCACTTGGCCTGCCAAGTATTAGGTATAATTAATAAAAAACCTTAAATGAAGAACTTAAGAAAATTATTTCTTTCTGCCACCTTTCTTCTTGAATTGTAACTGAATTACACCAATCTTATAATGGGCGGATGTAAACTGGGCAATGTACTTAACTAAATTCTAAATCATAAGTTAATGAGAATACAATCTCAATGCTTTCAAATATGAATAAAAGCTGCATTAAAGCTAGAGTTAGGAAGTATAAATGTAAATGTAGACCTATATATAATATTGGCAATTTTCAATCACTCAAAATAACTGACTTTTCAATACCTACCTGATCTTCTTATTGCTTGGTATTCCTAATATTTTAACTTTGTTTAGGTTTGAAAAAAGGATGGTTCTAGAACGGTCCAAAACAATCGCACGGTTTATTATTGGAATTTTTGATAGCCAAGCAATTGTCATTTTGTTGATTAATAAACTGTGTGATTGTTTTGAACCGTTCTAGAACCGATACTTAATTTTTTTCACATCCATGATACTCGTTGAATTTTTTAAACTAACTTTGTGTCTAGATCACATATCGGATTTTTTTCCAGGTAAGGTAAACCCCTAAATTTGGTTCCCAATTTACGCCTGCCAAGTATCAGGTGTAATTAATAAAAACCCTAAATGAAGAACTTGAACATATTATTTCTTTCTGCCACCTCTTTCCTTGAATTGTAATTGAATTACAGCACCCGGAGCGATATTGTAATAAGCCAAGGAGTTCTGATCTTTGAAGAACATACCCTTAAACAAATTAAGTTCGTAATCACAAATTAATTTGGCAAAACAAAGACTTACATCAAAGAACAATTTTTGCTTTGTTGGAGGCATGTTGACTTCCTCTTGAATCTTGACTTTCAAATTTCCCACACTTTCACTTAAAGGCAAGGTGAACGACAGCATTTGACCGGTGAGTTTCCATTCGGATTTTTCTGGCATCAATGGAATTGCCACTGTTACACCAACAGAGCTCTGAAAATGATAAAATAAAACAAAACATTCAGAAAACCCTACAATATTTTACCGGATTTCTAGCTAAAAATACATCTTCTGGCACCAGGGATTCTTCGTTTCTCAATTTCTTACTGGAAGGCTCCTCCTCTAAGGGGCCATCATTTGGCTGTTTTACTGGTATTGGCATGGGCGGAGGCATCGGAGTCACAAAGCCCATGGGTGGATGGGAGGTCACTAAAGAAACAGTAATTGTTATTGGAGTTAATGAATTATTATTAAACGGTTTTGCAGTCCAAAATTGGCAGTTAATGTTTGAATTTTGAATTACTTTTTGCTACATTATTAATAAGTCAAAAGAGGAAAGTTTTAGCTTCTAAAGTATTAGTAAAATTATTCCACAATATCCAGCAGTTTCATTTAGTTAGCTTATAGTCAACTAAATGTAAAAAATATTTTTACACATAATTGTTGGTCTCATTGGTCCCATCGGCGGTGCGGGCATCATCATTATAGGTGGTTGTGCTGACATGAGCTGAGATGCTACAGAGATAGCCAATGGTTGTGAAGTAGGCACTGTCAGTACTGATGTTTGGGGTGGTGTGATTTTAGGACCAATTTTTTCTTTCTCTTCGTCTGGAAGTAAACCTTTCACCTACAACAAATGATTTTTCAAATATCCATTGGATTAAAAATGATAAAGTTACCTTATGAATTTGATGTATTTGATCTTCCAAAGTAATATTAGCTCTTGCGGCCCTGGTTGCTGCCTCAACGCTAGAAGTATGCCCATCCCAAGTGACCTTTTCGTCTTTTTTTTCTTCTTCCCCAATTTTTTTACCTGGAATTGATGAGAAATTGAAGCCAACTTTAAAAAGCGTAAAGTCCACTCACCAATGGCAGTTTCCTCATCTCCCACACCGAAAATATCGGTACGACGTTCAGCCAACAATTTCAAGCTGGCTTCTATGGCTGTACCTTGAGCATAGACTGTATCTTGAGCCATCTGGAATAATATAAAACGTAGAAATTATAACATCAACTTTAACATCTTCCGAAGCTTAAATATCAGAAATAACAGAAATATCTTTTTCCTTGTGAAATTGATTGTAGTGAAAGTGGGAAACGCCCAGGACAATGATTTTGATTTATATATATTTTTCCATAATCAGATCTATTACCATAAGACAGATTGAGTCAGAATGATTAGATTGTAGCTGTTATCAACTGCTACAAAAAAATCTTGTTAGTCAATCTGCCACTATCAAAACTTAACTCAAATTTATGAATTTCAAAAGACAGCTAACCTAAACAAAATTTAAGATGAATATTTTAGATTTGTTGGTACCTTGTCTGTAGCGTGTTTATCACGTTGCTCCACCCATCTAGGATCCAACAAACCGATTCGCATATGTTCCTGCACTTTACTAGCAGGAATTTTCTCTCCTGTAATTGGAGACACCAGATAATCGTCTCCGACAGTTGGTCTGGAAACTTTTGGTGTTTGTTTTGGATCATATTTTTTGACAACCACTTTATCCACAGCTGGAGGCAAGGGTGGTTGTATCGGTTGTGGGTGTTCTCTTTCGTCGTCTTCCTCGGAGCTTTCCTCATCCATATCTTGCACTTGATTGTTGTCTTTACGGCTAGTAGGGCCCGTTTTGTCTTCCATGCGACTAAGGCCTGAATCTTCATTTGCAGGCTCATCATCGTCACTTTCCAGTTGCATTTCAATGTCGTCGCCTTCTTCTATACGTTCTTGAATTAGTATTCTGGCGCCTACTTCTTCTGGAGTGGTTGGAGGTGGGAAATTACCAAGTTCAAATCCTTGGTAATCCACGGTTTCTACAACTACAAAGTCGTGCCAGTCGATTTGGGCATAGGCGACTCGTTCTCGTTCCAATACCTCGTCTTCTCTGGCTTTTTGGGCTTCTTGATACTTTTGATAGTCGGCCCTGTACTTGACTTGTTCTAGAACGCAATCAGCACTTTTAACTTCATCCCTTAATGATTGCACGAGGGTTTTTGAAGGAATTAAAATCTAAAAAGGGGTTAAGTAATAGCATGCTAGCCTGTTTAATATTAAACACAATACCTTTGTATATTGTTCAAGCAATTTCGTGAAATACTGGAATAGAGAATGTTGAGGGCGTAGGAAATCAAATTGAAAGTTTCTCTGTTCTCTGTTCATGAGTTGGGTCAAGAAGGATCTACCATTTCTTGCTACAAATTGGGCCGTTAGTTTTACAATGTCCCTAAAAAGAAATTGAACTTTTGGACCCTTTGTTATTTTTCATTCATATTAATGATTTAACTAAGTTGGGAACAGGGGATCTTTTTACATTTTCTTTAAAATGCACGCATTTCTTAGAATTAATGGAAAAGTTGTGTTTTTTTTACAAAGTTTGACACCCTGTATCTAGAAAACGAAGCATTTCCGGACACATGTTTATTAAAAAAAAAATCTTGATTATCATAAGATCTACCATCCCTAGAAGTTTGTAACAAACCCTTCGTGACACCCTGTATACTAGGGAACAAGATAATACCTATACTTATCAAAAAATTTTTGTTGATTTTATTTTCAACATATTCAAACTAACCAAGCTTGCAAAAAAGCTGATATGGTAAATTTAATACCCACGCCACGTTATCTTTAAAAAAAATTGTTTTGTCTTAAAATCAAGACAGATTTTTCTTGTTCCCTAGACTATTTTGACAAGTGTAAAAGTAAAAACCTCTTTCATCACCTTTTCTTGCGAATAAGGAGACTCAAAAGTGAGCAGGGTGGGCACACACAAAAACCCATTATCAATATTGACAAAAACCCAGTGGGCTTTAGGCTTTTTGTGTCAAAAAATCACTCATACGGAACTCATTCCTACCATAGAGCCAAATATCAATCCAAAACTTAAGATTACAAAATCTGTTTGTAGAGAATTTATTTGGATTTAACTAGAGCTTAATTACACTGAAATCGGATGAAAATTACCGGAGCTGTGAGGCAAAAACTGGCTCAGTTTCATTTTTGAAAACATTTCAAAGTTCGATAAATTCAATTTTGAAGTTTCTCAGCTGCAAAACTGTTGGGACTCAATTAAAATCTTGATCGATAGGTTTGTAGAGAATTCAAATTGGCTTTAATTAGAGCCTAATTGCGTTGAAATCGGATGAAAATTTAAGGAGTTGTGGTGAGGCAAAAACTGACTAAGTGTCATTTTTGTAAAATTTTCAATGTTCAATAACTTCAATTTTGAACCTTCTCAGCTGCAACACTGTTGAAACCAAATTAAAATTTCAATTAAATGGTTGGTAGAGAATTTAATTAATTTTGCTTAACTGGAGCCTTATTACATTGAAATCGGATAAAAATTAACGGAGCTATGAAGCAAAAACTGTCACAGTGTAGTTTTTGAAAAATTTTCAATGTTGGATAAATTCAATTTTGAAGCTTCTCAGGCGCAAAACTGTTGGAACCAAATTATAATCTTAATTGATAGATTTGTGAAGAATTCAATTGGCTTTAACTGGAGCTTAATTCCACTAATATCGGATGAAAATTAACGAAGCTGTGAGGCAAAAACTGTCTCGATGTCATTTTTGGAAAATTTTCAATGTTCGATAATTCCAATTTTGAAGCCTCTGAAGTTCTCAGGTGCAAAACTGTTGAAACAAATATACAATTTTGTCTAGCTAAGTAAACACAAAAACCCTACAAAAACACAATAGAAATTTTCAAAAACTGTGGTTTTTGGCTTGCCAAACCTGAAAGTGAGAGAAAATTGAGAAAGTATTGAAAGTTCTCCCAACTTCTAAAACATATTATTCTGTGTATGTTTTTTTTAGAAACCCTTTTTTTTTAATTTTGGAAATACATATTATTTTATGTTTATTGTTATTTTTGAACATCTGATCATAAATTTTTGGGCTATGCGTAGTCTGGTCAGCTCTGTTTTTGGTGCATTGCCCCAGCTAGACAATTATTGCACAATGTATAGTAGATTCAACAAATGAATAATCGAATAATAAAGCATTTTTCTAAGTACTTTATACACCTTGCTCTCTCTATGACATCACTGCAGCCCTGAATTGCTGAGTGATATTAATATTAGAGTACCCAAAAGATTAACCCATCAGCATGACCTATTTGCAATAGATTTTCATAGAACTAACTATGGGTTAAATAGTCCTATGTCCCGAATATGTGGGCTAGCAAATTCAAAGTATGGTAATGCTGATCTTTTCTGTACTGATCTTCATTGTTTCAAGAAACTTATTATACATCCCAAATGTGTCGAAAAAAATTGATCAGTGTCTAAATAACCGATAGTGAACTTTAACTCTAAATCTCACAACAAGTGGGCAACCACTTCATAAGTGAGCTGTTTATTTCATTTTTTTTTCAGTTTCCTTAGGCAGGCCGCACATCAAAGAAACATGAAACGTGAAACATCAAACATGAAACGTAAAACATGAAACAATAAATTACGAAAAGTGAAACCGTTTCTTTCGTGCATACTAATTGAAGAAACAAAAATAATTCTTGTTTCTTGTTGCAAATATAATTATTATATTTGCAAAGTCGTTTCAGTGTAGTGAAGTGTGAAGTAGAGTGTAGTACACAATGGAAAGTGAGGACGAGGTTGTTGTTGCTGTTGTGGCGTCTCTTTTATTATCATCAAAAAGCAAAAAAAAAGGAAACGACGTTACTGGGTACATCCATATAATAATATAAATCATAAACATAGCATATATTTGGTTGCAAAGGAATTAAACAATTATCCTGCCAAATTTCAATCGTTTTATAGAAAGAGTAGATATACAAACATTCACAAAATTATTACCTATGAAGAGAAACAGTGAAACTGAAACAAAAAAATAGAACGCGATCTATTTCATGAAACACGTTTCATGTAATAAAAATGTTTCTCGCGCATGAAACAAATTCGTTTCATTGGTGTGCGGACTTGTATTTGTTTGTTCTTATTCTATTTTCATGAAACGTGTTTCACGTTTTATGTTTCATGTTTTACGTTTCATGTTTCTTTGATGTGCGGCCTCCCTTACATGTTGTGTGTAATCGCCCTTAAATTGAATTAATCACTGGAAAGGCAGGGTGAATGTATTGATGAATCTATTAATAATTATTTTATTCTATTTTTTTTAGTTGTATTTTAATTTTTGTTTGTCTAACTTTGTTGAGGTATTGTAAACATTAAATAGCAAGTCAGATAAATAAATAAATAAATACATGCGGCCTCCCTTACATGTTGTTGATTATTGATATTTATTTTTTTATTTATTTTATTTATAACTGTTCATTCATAAGGCGGTTACACACGGACGTGGATGTCTGAAAACATGTACGCACATACATGAACGTACAAACAAAAACATCAATGTGTATGCAAAATACCGTCGCGTTTTTGAATGTGCAATTTTGTATGCACACTCGGAGCACTGTAGCAAGAATAGCAAGAATGCAGTTTTGTGCGAGCGTCTGTACAAAAGCGCCATGCACGTTGTTGTTTGCACATTGATGTATGCACGTATATAGGCGGTTACACACGGACGTGGATGTCTGAAAACATGTACGCACATACATGAACGTGCAAACAAAAACATCAATGTGTATGCAAAATATCGTCACGTTTTTGAATGTGCAATTTTGTATGCACACTCGGAATACTGTAGCAAGAATAGCAAGACTGCAGTTTTGTGCGAGCGTCTGTACAAAAGCGCCATGCACGTTGTTGTTTGCACGTTGATGTATGCACATATATGTATTAAGACATCCACGTCCGTGTGTAACCGCCCTTAAATTGAATTAATCACTGGAAAGGCAGGGTGAATGTATTGATGAATCTATTAATAATTATTTTATTCTATTTTTTTTAGTTGTATTTTAATTTTTGTTTGTCTAACTTTGTTGAGGTATTGTAAACATTAAATAGCAAGTCAGATAAATAAATAAATAAATACATGTTCTAAGTTTTCGGTCGGCAGACTGAGTCATCTATTTTTAGATGTTGGGTTATAAAGTTACTTAGTCTTTTCTATATTTAATGATAAAGCTTTTTTGATTTGATTTAATGAAGGAATAATCTACAGGGAATTTTTTGTAGTTTCTTTAACTAAAATTAGTTTTAGAGTGGCAAAATGAATTATTAAATTCTTCAAGAATTTGAAAAAATAAACATATACATACAAATCCGAAGCAGATATGGAGGGTGGATCAGCAATAAACTCAAAATCACTTGGTGGATCCTTCGGTACAAATGGTTGCTCAATTTGCTTAAAAATTTCATGTTGTTTCTGTTGTTGAGTCAGGGATACGGTTAGCTTAGATATTCCTTGTGCAATGGATGGCTCTTGAGCTGAAATAAGCATTAATCAAGCACGTTCCTGTAAAAATTTGCTTAAATTGACCTTTTCCTTCCCTGACCTCATTAACTTTATGCTGATAATAGGCATGGTAAGGGTCTCCCAAATTCAAAAAGTTAAATTTCGGATTTCCCAATTCGTTTTGCCGAATTCTGGCTTCGAATTCGGGACCATTTCTCGCCACGAAACTGGCTGTCTTGTCGACAATGTCTTATCAGACTGGTTAAGGAAAATATTTTCGATGTTAGCAGTAGCCCAGAACTCTTTATTCTGAAATGTCGTGGAGGACGAGGCCCACGGGTCATGACACTTGGGCCCCTTGTGCATCCTCCCAGATCCTTGACTCTCATAATGAAAATAAATGTTTTTTTGTAGTAAATTAAGGGTAAAAAGGATACTTCTAACCTCAGGTGGAGGGTAAATGATGCCCACGATCGCATTAGATGATGCCGCCGCACCATCTTCACTACTGCTAGCTGATGCTCCTGCAAGAGACATTTTAATCAAAATGCATTTGAAGTAACACTATATTAGAGAGAATTAGTATTTATTTTTGCCAAAAAACGGATTTTTAATTCATATTACAAAATCAAACAAACAACAAACAGACAAACGCCGGCATTGACATTTTTGACAACTGCCAATTGCATAATTTTCACTTTTCAGCTACGTTCCATTATTTGCACAAAAGTTACACCGAACTGCACCTGGAATATAAATGAGGGAAAATTTGAAAATGACTGTGCAAAGGGAGTAAATAGCAAGGATAATACACACTACTACAGGATTGCTTATCGGCCTCGTTTTTGGTAATCGCACTCATATGATGTAACACCATATACTATATTCCTTACCCGTTGAGTTACTCGAAGCTGCTCAATGTCAGAAGTTTGAACGTTCCTTTTAAAAGTGCGTTAAGCACTCGAGTCGCTCATACTGCATCCTCCTTTCCTCCGATGCACCAAATTTGCGGGTGTGCAAGAAGCCCTTTTAGGTGTTAAGTAAAAGTGACGTCATTCACTAAGTCGTCAGCTGTTTGCACCAGCGGTCATAGTTTAGAATTTAAGTTTATGATGGAAAATAGTATATAATTTTGATTAACATAATGGGCAAAGAGAAAAGCCTTGTTCACTTTTGTCATCTTTTTCGTCGATTTGCTCGGAAATTTTGACAGGCACGTGATTTGTAAATTGAAACTCTCTGATCCAGTCACGTGCCTATCAAAATTTTGGAGCAAATCTACGAAAAAGATGATATACGAACACGGCCAAAGATGCAAATGAGATCCAAAAAAAGAGTTGTTTAGGAATCTTTAGGCGGCGCGGCGTTCCGTATCTTAACCAGAGTTACCTATCGGTATGAAGCGGTTCTTCTATGGTGAAAATCTGGTTCCTGAAAATGCAGCTTATGTGTGGTGGAACGCTTCGGTTCAGCTTTGGTTTGTCTTGGATGCTAGATGATAGAATATTATCCTCTTAAAAGTATATTTGTAATAAGAAATCGACATGAATGAATGTAATATTTACCTCTTGTTCCATTTTCACCGCAAATACACTTCGAAACCTAACCAGATTTCAGGAGTGGTTAGGGGACCGGAGAAACCAAGAATCTTGGTTAATTTACGGGACGTCGCCTTAATTAATGTAGTAAAACCAAAGCTGTTTTCTCGCGTTCACTTTTTTGAAACTGGTTCAAAACAGGTTTGAAACAGTATACAGTCGCGATGAACCCCTGACGTCACATCAAAATTGGTTCAAACCGCTTCGAAATACAATCCAATCCACGTTTTAAAACCATTTTCTGGCTCCGAGAAGTTATGAAGTCATGTGACACTGTTTTAAACCAGTTTTGAAAAACGTTTTAAAGCATTTGAGATGCGAGAAAACACCTCATGTATACAAAAAAGCCCGTGGAATCATATGCTGTGGTGCAAACACAGTGGCGTAGCCAAACCAAATGTGGACGTCGGCGAAATCCGAATTGCGAGGCCCTTTTTATGTAGGGTGGCAGTGGCTTAAGAAAATTTTAGTTATTGAAAAAACACACAAATTATTTTTTTGGAAGCTTAAAGTAGGTACTTTTTGGCGTGGCACCCGAAAAAAAATTCTGCAGCAACTGCGGTGGGCATCACCTACTAGGTCCTACTTTGGGTATGAACGAGATCAGTGGTATGAACCCCTTCAAGTATAGACCAATAAGAGCCTCCACTGGTTGAGAAGCTCTATCCCCCTCCCCCGGAATCAGGCAATTTTCTAGGAAACCTAAATCATTTCCGAATCTCTGTATGTTAGCATGTTTGCTGTACAAAATCGACGGACTTTCAAAATGCTGTAGAATGTACAATACAGCGAAATAGGTACTGTACGTATGGTCACCCTATTTTTGTGTCTCGATTGGTTGCCGTTGCCAGTTAGGGAAAGTATGTACCATACGATTTGAAAGTTCTAGGTTAATTTGCAGAAAAATTAATGATTTCTAGTGAATTCTATGATATTAAGAAGTTTCATATAGGATGCTTATTTGTTCTCTACGTTTTATTTTGGAGAATCGAAAAGTGCCAATTTTCAGGTTCAGTAACCTATTTTTTGCGAGGCTCCTTAAAGCGCGAGGCCGTCGGCAGTCGCCGACATCGCCGACGCCTAGCTACGCCACTGTGCAAACACCCTACACCAAGGCGAGAAACGACACGCTGGTACGTCATCACTGGTGCTTTGGCATGGTGATGCAAAACCAGCTCTTATTCAAGATGGCTGCCAACTTACATAAAAATCTAAGCCAGACAACGAATCATAACTTGTGATACCTCGATTTCGACTAATTTTGGGTCGAGAAATCCGTTTCTTGGGATAAAAGTATCATATATGTTGCTATTTCTCTTTTATGCGCCATCTTTTCAATATGGCGACCATAAATATGGCACAGACTTGAACTTATAGCTTATGGGGTACCTATCATTTTAAAGGTATTTCGACATCGTACATCCAATATCCAAATAAATATACATGTTCTATTTGTAGGTACCTATGTATCTCACATTTTATATGTGACGATCGAAAAAAAAATTATTAATAGCCCCCGTACTAGTTTAGGTAAGGTGACCGTTGATTATAATCTTTGCTGTATTTGTCAAATAAAAAATGTTAAACAGCTTATTAGCCCTGCCAATAATCCCATTAAGTGTCGTCAGAATTCTACATATTTCGTCTTGTGGGAGAAACTTGACCAGTCAAAACGATACGATTATTGTCTGCCTGCTGGCTATCGAGTGAATATTTTGGATGAAGGAGAAGGAATTGAACCTAATTTATGTGGAAAGAGAGCAAAGTGGCATAAAAACTGTATCCGTTCACGATCATACTTGTACAAGTTTGATGAAATCTCATCACCTACTATGTATACCTATTATTTTATAGTACTTATAAAGTTAAACAGTCGTATATGCAACATCCTCTTTTAACTTCAAAAGCGACTTCGAATTTCAGAAATTTGTAATACTTAGAATAGAAATATTTAAAAGTGACAAGTATTAAAAAGCGCTTTTAAGTTAAAAGAGTATGTTGCATACGGCTGATGTAAGTTTTGTTTTCTGAAACATTGCAATGTCACCTTGTCAGCTTAAAAATAACGTAGGTACCTATAGAAAAAAAAGATTAATTACTTTTATTAATTGAGTAGTTATTAATTTGTATTATGATATGATTTGGAGCAGAACTAGGCGCGTATTGTAACTTCATATCCTACTATGTTATAGATTAACGTCCATCTGTATCGCGGTATGATTTGGAGTATATATACGCGCGTTTCACAGATACAAATCATACTACGTTATCGAATGACATCCATCTGTATAATGGTAAAGAACGAAAATACGCGTCCGGGAAACAAAAATTACCGGCTCTCGAATGTTAGTTGTTTTCATGTGAAAAAGGAGCTCTGTTTTTTGTGCAAATGTGTCAAATCAGCACAGGCTCCTTTACGTCACTGCGATTCTCCGAGACCAATAAAGTGTATGAGCATATCAAAACTTGTCCAGAATTTTTGGGGAATGCAGATTTGTTCAGTTTCTTGTCTCAAGGCGACTTAGTAGCTCAAGAATCTAAATATACATACATAACAAATTTAAGAGGCTTTCCATCCACTAGTAATAGGTATAGATAAAAATGAAGTCATTTGTGAAAGAATTGCTTTTGCAGACCTGGTAATTTATATACAGGAAAAACTTCGACAATCTCAGCAGTATGTCTTTAAAATGGGGGATATCAGAAAAATGTACAGCGATAGATTAACAGAGCTTCTAGGAGTTGAAAATGCAACTTTCAGTATTATTTGTTACCAAAATTGGTTTAAATTGCTATATTATATTACAGTATGGTTTCAAGTAGGTACCTATATTGTGCATTGAATGCCGCCATATTTAAAATGGCCCTCCAAAATAAAAACGGAAGCTCCTACGTTTGTTCTGCTGTCAAAATTGGATTTAGGATGTCGAACTGACAGAGACTCCTGTGGGAACAGACCTAAAAGCGAAATGGCAACATGTATGATATTTTTTTTATCACAAGAAATGGATTTCTCGACCCAAAATTAGTGGAAATCGAGGTATCACAAGTTATGGTAGGTTGTCTGGTTTTATGTAAGTTGGCAGCCATCTTGAATAAGAGCTACTGTAGTCGCCGGAGGCCATTTTCTATCGGTGTGAAATTTTTGTAAGTTTCATTTAAAATCAAAAAATATTCCTAATGGTTTTTTATGAAAAATAAGCCATTTTACGATATTTAAAAAAATGAAGTGGGCCATTTCGAAAAAAAGGTGGAAACTCCCCTCTCCATGGAGGAATTTTTTGGGGACTCGACTGAAATCTCTTAAAATCGCCTTAAGAATGTCGATGCCAAATTTCATGCTTGTATACCTTATAGCCACATTTTTGCTTTATTAAGCCGTTATCCTCTGTTAAATAACACAAAAATCTAAGACAGATAGCTCTTCACCCTAAATTCTAAAATTACCCAAGCAAAAAACGGAGGGTTTATAAGAATGCCCAAAATGTCGCCCTTCCATCCTTATTACCTTTGATTGCCTTTATTTACTAGGTACTCAAAAGTCTCTCCTTCTGGGTTTTATTAATGGCAAATTGTTCAACTATAAAAGAGCCAATTAGAAGCTACGGAAGAAGAAATTTTAATTACTCTTGAACCTTGACTGCACTTGAACTAGTTCTCTAGATAATCCACAGTTGATAGAAGTTTAAATTTTAACTATTACCGGCTCTTGATTGGCTCCGGAAAAGTTGTCCAGAGAATCAAGAGCCGGTAATACTTCAAATTTTGATTATCTGTGGCTCTTCATTCATTGGATAATTTTTCTTGAGCTAAATAGAAGCTGCGGAAGAAGAAATTTTGATTTATATCAACTTAAGAGCTGCTAATGATCATTCGAAATTTTTATTATTATCGGCTCTTGAGCTTTGAATGCCCTTAGAAAAATTCTCTCGCGAATCCAGAGTTGATAAAAATTCAAATTTTGATTATTACCGGCTCTTGACTGACCCAGGAAGGTTTTCCAAAGAATCAAGAGCCGGTAATAGCGGTGTGATAGTTCAAATTTTTATTATCTTTGGCTCATGATTCATTCGATAACTTTTCTTGAGCCAATTAGAAGCTGCGGAAGAAGAAATTTTGATTGATATCAACTTAAGAGCTGCTAATGAACATTCGAAATTTTGATTATCTATGGCTGCTTTATCCATTGCATAATTTTTTTGGAGCAACTTAATACCGAATATCCATATTTGATAGAAAGATCATGCAGTCTATGCTGACTTATGGAATTTCTCAAGTAATTTTCCAATATTTTTAATTTACTAAAAGACCTTTCAGCGGTGGCAACTGGAAGGAATGTACCAGGTAAAGTATGGTTATCGATCGATATCGGTCATTATATTTCTCAATCTTATTTTAGAGCATTTTTTCCGATATTTTTCCATTTAATCACATTGTAATTATGATTCAATCGTAATTATTTTAATTTAAAATATACAGGGAAAGAGACGCATTTTTGAAAAAAAAAGTTCAAATAAGAGTTATATGGTATCACGAAAGAAAGAAAAGGATCAATCAAAAATCATTGCTATCATTTTCTTTTTTTCGTGATACCATATAACTTTAATTTGAAATTTATTTTTCAAAAACGCGCCGTTTTCAAGATATTAGACTGTCTCAAGTTAAATGGACCACCCTGTATAAGCTATGATGTGATTCAATATTGGTGGTTTTTCGAACCTAGGGATGACATAACAAAAATAAAGTAAAATCTTAATTATCGCTTCTGCTGAAAAAAAAAAACATCAGTCAATAAGCCATTGTTGAATATTTGTTTATACTTAAATGGTAAATAATAATAATTTCTCTATCTTCCAATAGGATTAATGTATGAGGGGCTAGAAGTTTAGGTGCTAAAAGGTTAGTATAAGCTAACAAAAAAAAAAGTAACAATAAATTATTTAAGTTTTTAGTACGTATTTTGAGAGTGCTAGATCCCCTTTATAAGAAACCATTTCAATAGAAACTGATCGTAATAAATAATGCTGATTTTTTGAGCATCGTGGGTTTTGTTTTAGTTGGAGGTTTATAAGAAGAAGCTGAAGTTGAACAACTTCCAGGTGTTGCATATTTCCTGGAATTGTTATAATCCTAAATTCAGTACCTACCTATCGTCAAGTAAATTTTTGGATTTTCTTTTAGTACGCTTGTAGAGTTTTGGCTACTGCATTTTCCCCTTCTTGTAAGTTTCTGGAAGTTTTTCATCCTGATGTATGTCCTGTTGTTCATACATTGATTTCACGCAAATCTTGTAAAATTTCCTGGCAAACGCAACAGGCATTTGAACGACAGGCTGAAATCCTTTCGGGTACTGTAAATCTGGATCGGCAAATTTATCTTCCAGCTGCTTGACCAAATCATTCCCGAGATTGACTTCAAAAGTATCATTGTTGTCGTAACTAGAGGATGCCGCTGTATCGGCAAATATATTTTCCAGCTGCCTGACCAAATCATACCCAAGATTGATCTCAAAAGTATCATTGTTGTAGTTGTAACTACAGGATGCCGCTCTAACACATTTAAGTTCTTCAATTTTCATATCCTTTGGATGCAACGATGATGTTTGACGAGCCTCTGCAACACCATTATTACTGTATCTTGTTAGTCGTATACTCTCAAGCTTTTTTGAGAACTCATCATCGATATTAACCTTATTGTTTCCGATGTACCTCATTAAATTTGGATCGGTAAACTTGTCTTCCAACTTGTTGGTCAGACTATCTCCGAGATTGTCCTCAATAGTATAGTTGTTTTCGCGTGTAGAGGATGCCGCTCCAAAACACTTAAAATCTTTAATTTTCATATCCTTTGGATACGACGATGATGTTTGAGGAGCCTGTGCAACACCATAATTACTGTATCTTGATAGTCGTATTCTCTCAACTTTTTTTGACAAGTCATCATCAATATTAACCTTGCTTCTGATGTACCTACCTCATTAAATCTGGATCGGCAAACTTATCTTCCAACTTCTTGGTCAGAGTACCTCTGAGATTGTCCCCAAAAGTTTCATTGTTTTCGTTAGTAGAGGATGCCACTCCAACACATCTTAAATCTTCAATTTGCATAACCTTTGGATGCGACGATGATGTTTGAGGCACCCCAGCAACATCATCAGGACTGTATCTTGTTAGTCGTATTCTCTCAAGCTTTTTTGATAAGTCGTCATCAATATTAACCTTGTTTCCGATGTATCATCAAATCTGGATTGGCACACTTATCTTCCACCTTCTTAACCAGATTGTCCCCTAGATCGACCTCAATAGTAATAATAGTATCATTGTTTTTGTTAGTAAACGATGCCGCTCCAACACATTTGAAATCTTCAATTTCCATATCCTTTGGAGGCGACAATGATGTTTGAGCCGCGCCCGCAACAGCATTAGGTCCGTATCCTGTTAGTCGTATTCTCTCAAGTTGTTTTAAATAGTTATTATCAATATCCAGCGGGTTTCCGATGTACCTCACTAAATCCGGACCGGCAAAATTATCATTGGCATACTTAACTTTGCCGATGTACCTCCTTAATCTTGGCAATTCCTTTGAAGATGTACTACTGCTCTGTGTTGTTTTGGTTGGGAACACTGGTTTCAAAACTGGAGCTTGTTTTGAGGACGAGTCAGCATTTAAAAGACCATCAATCGAAGAACTTTGTTGGGATTTTGTACTTGTTTGTCCCCAAGAATCCCGTGGTGCCATTGGTGGTGGTATCTTGGAACAAAATTTTTGGTTTGGTGAAGGCGAAAAACTTGCCATTTTAGCGGAGCCTCTTTTCGCTGGGACTTATAGTAGAGCGAGTTGTTCGTTTGTGCTCTGAGAAACTGAAATAGGAGAGGAAAATTTATGGTTATAGACCGAAATACTGAAATGCTGCCTTCATGTTTTTTTGTAAAAATAGTTTTCTTCCATTAAAATCGAGTACCTAATGCTTGCATTTTCAGTTCATAAACCAACAAAGCTAAAGAATTGAAATTTTTAATATACATATTTTCATAAATATAGTAGGTGAAATTTAAAGTATACTAAAATCTCAAAACAAACTTTGAAAATGAACATTTTCAATTAATTCGATTGGCCCATAAAATACATATTTTTTCCCGAACTTTTCAGTATCTATGAGCGATGAAACACTGGGTTCCAGCTGATGGCCTTCACTGACTTTCCAGACTAGGACCTGTGTACCAATACCAACTCTGGTGGTCTTCTAAGTGATGTTTTTTATTATGATTATAGGGCATTGGTCAATTAAATTGGGATGAATTGTTGCTCGAATTGTTGTTACCTTACTCAGTTAATGATATTTTTCTATTCACGCCCTCGTGCCAGGTTTCCACCAGAGTGACGATACAAAAAAAAGCGGGCGCACAGAACATTTTAAAATTCAGGGTCCAGAAGCGATTATGTAATCTATGAAATTGTTAGAACTGAGTGTAGGGATAAATCTCGAATACTTTTTGGAAACTTGTAGAGAGGACTGAATATAATTTGACTGACCAGGTAAATGTTAGAAAATTTTGAAAATTTGTTCAGCGTAAAAGAAAGTGTATCCAAGTTATCATCGTTGATGTTTTTCAATAATAATCAGTGTCAGCTTGGTCTAGATATTTTTGCAACAAACACCACAGTATACACTACAAAAACCACTGCATATACTGACACACAACAGAAACCACAGTTTCCATCCCAACCTATACAACCCAAAGTGGAATATTTAAAAATACCACAATTTTTTTTTTCTAGCCCTGGAAATTTAAGCAAGAATCATAACAATGCCTTCCGAGAAAATATGAAACAACAATTTTCGAAACCGACTCCTACGTCCGGAGTTTCAGTGAAACCACGATCAGAAAACCAAGGTCGTACATATTGCGGAAATCCGTACACTACAAACCAAATAACTATTTCAAACCTGACCCAAATTCAGGCTCTTCAAGATAATATCTTTGAAATAGAATTATCTGACTGTTTAATTACAAATTAGCCATATTTTCTTCCAAATTTTTAACTTATTATCTTTTATTAAATATATTAATTATTTTCTATTTACCAGCTAGCCAAGCATTTTTAAAGTCATCGACATTACGAACAGTGGGTCAGTAAAACATATAAATCAGCACTTTAGTTAATTTATGAGTTAATTACCTTTGTAAATATTGCATTTATTTGTGTATAAATAGTGTTACCGTTCCTCAAATAAATTAGTATAAAGCAGGACGCGCACTGCATCGACTTGGACCGGTCGACTCGGCGAAGAGCATTAGGTAGTTTTTGATACTCATGCAATTAAATGAGACTCGAGTCGACCACGTGCGCGGAGTCTCATTTAATTGCATGAGTATCAAAAACTACCGAATGCTCTTCGCCGAGTCGACCGGTCCGAGTCGATTCAGTGCGCGTCCTGCTTTAAACCATCAGTCGTTTGTACTCAACCACACCCACAGTCAACTGCTTACCACCCTATCAAGTATTCGACAACAAAGAAGAATAAGGTGCTCAGAGTGTAATCAGTCATTCTCTGCTGCCTTTTCTAGTTACAAGAATTCTCACATCAAGGGAACGATTGTACATTTGGTCCTTCGAGCCGTGAATACATATTCACACACACGTACACACCCTATTGCAAGTGCCTTGTGATAGCGCTACCTACTAAAACCAACCTCCTTGTATAGCAAGTGCTTTGTCTGGTTATACATTTCCTCCCTGCTGTAGCAAGTGCCCTGCCTGGTTACAGCATCCCGACTAATTAGGATTCTCTCAAGCTTGCGCGGTGCGAGTCCTAGTAGATTCCAGGTCCCAGTCATCTTTCATCACAGAGGAAGCTGCATGCTTCCTTGCACTACCCAGAAAAAAGTTCAGAGTCAAAACATCAGGTCTTGGTGCAAGAGACCCCCAGACAGCAAAATGGCAGATAGAAACAACAATCCACCCAAGATTTCCCAAGCAACTTCTCGTTGGACATCGTGTGCTGCCTAACCTCGCACAGACATTACCTGGAGAGCCATTAGATGTCAATATATCTCAGTGGAACAATGACCTTGTGGCGGATCCTACATTTCAGAAGCCTGGTCCGATAGACATTATTTTGGGCGCCAGAGAATACGCTCAGATTTTACTTGAAGGCGTCAGGAAACTGAATGATGGCATACTGGGACAGAACACCGAATTCGAATGAATATTTTCTGGAAACATTGGAATTAACAAAAATAAAAAACTCCAGGTTCTAACAATGACAACCTGGATTCAAGAACCAAATTCTGGGAAATAGAAGAAATCTCCCAACCAAGACAAATGACTAAAGATGAGCAGATCTGTGAGGAACAATATGCTCTAAACACAACCAGAAACAAAGATGGTACTTACACTTTACACTGTGAGAGTACCGTTCAATGGCAAAGAACAAACTCTGGGAATATCAAAAAGAGAGCTGCAGCAAGGCTTATACAATTAGAGAAAAAACTTTTGACAGAGGAGAGACTAGACTTCACCTACAAACAATTTATGCAAGATTTCCTAGATCTGGGACACATGAAAATACAACGACCAAACTACGAGTAGTCTTTGATGCATACATGGGTTCAGCCTGAACGAAACAATGTACACTGGTCCCAAATTACAGGAAGAGCTTTCGGATATTTTTTTACGTTGGAGATCACACAGAATAGTTATCACAGCTGACATTGAGAAAATGTATAGACAAATCAAAATTTCAAAGAATTCTGTGGCGGTTCGACAAAAAATATCCAATACAAGAATACTGTCTCACAACAGTAACATATGGTACAACCGCAGCTTCATATTTGACGATCAAAACACTGCAGCAACTAGCCAGTGATGGGGCCAAATTTTCCAAGGGCAGCCCTACACGATTTCTATGTAGACGACCTTCTTTCCGGTGCAGATACGATTGAAGAAGCATTGGAACTCCAAGCTGAACTAATCAAAATGTTTCGATATGGCGGGTTCACTCTACGAAAATGGTCCAGTACCAGAAATCAACTCCTACAAGCTCTGCCAGAGGAACAGAAAGATATAACGTCCGTATAAATCACAGAAAATAAAACAAGAAAATCTCTTGGAATCCACTGAGCACCACATGACGATACCTTCCGTTTTACAACTGAAGTAACAGAAAATACCAAAATTACGAAACGAAATATCCTTTCCGAGGTTCCTTAATTGTTTGATCCACTTAGCTGGCTAGCTCCAGTGATCATAAACGTGAAACTTCTCATCCAAGAATTATGGTTATAAGAATTAAGATAGTACGATCCTGTACCTGAACACATACAAACCAAATGGAAGAAGTTACAAGCAGAACTAAAAAATGTCGAACAATTAACAATTTCCAGATGGACACATCAATCCAAACAAAGCAACATATTTTGCGATGCATCAGAGAAAGCATACTGTGCAGTCATCTACATGAAACTCACAAATCCACGAGATGGAAGCCAAGTCACTCTCTCAACTGCTAAATCCAAAGTTGCTTCAGCACGGATGAAGGCAACTCTACCAGGACTTGAACTTTGTGCTGCAGTTCTGTTGTCAAAACTAATCAAAATAACTATATCAGCTTTATCGCTAGAGAAAGTTCCAGTCTATTATTATGCCTACTCAGACTCCATGATAACACTGGCATGGATAAAAGGAGAGCCATCAAGATGGAAAAATTTTGTAAAATCGGAAGACAATCCTGCTGATGTGATATCCAGAGGACTCGTCATCAAAACTAAAGAAATACGCTCTCTGGTGGCTTGGACCATCATGGTTAATGTTACATAGCGTACCAAGAAATACTTTCATCAACGACTAAAGAAGAAAAAAATCGCAACACAGCCATCATGACCACACAAAAAAGGGCAGCAATGAAAATCATTCAGAGATTCTCGTCACTAAAAAGAATGATCCGGGTGATATGCTATTGCAAAAGATTTCTGGACAAATGTAGGAAAAAGAAGCATCTTTCGAAATTGACTGTCGAAGAAATGGCAACCACGCTGTTACACATTGTCAAAATGGAACAGCAATGTTACTTCGGAATAGAAATCAAAACGCTACAGAAGAAAAATCATCAACTAGAAACAAAGAGCAAAAATCTGAGTCTCAACCCGTTTCTAGACAATGATGGAGTTTTGAGAGTAGGAGGTAGACTTCAGCACTCACAACTACCATACAGTAACAAACATCCCATGATTTTGGCGTATTGAAGTCACCTGGCAAGATGCGTAGTCACAGATACCAATCTCACCACTCTACATGGTGGGAATCAGCTAACTTAAGCTTACACCAGAAAACGATTTTGGATCATAAATGGAAAAAATGCAGTAAAAAATACAATCAAGCATTATAGATGTATCAGATTTAAGGCCTAAACAGCAGAGCAACCAATGGAAGACCTTCCAGCCCCAAGAGTCACATCGTCACATCCTTTCTGCAACTCCGGTGTCGACTATGCAGGACCAATACAAATAAAAACTTCAACGGGAGGAGGCTTTAAGTCATATAAAGATCACATAGCGATTTTTGTATGCTTAGTGACAAAAGCTGTTCACTTACAAGTGGTCAGCGCCATGTCTTCTGATATGTTTTTAGCTGCTTTTAGACGATTTGTAGCTAGAAGAGGACCCTGGAACAAAGTTTGTTGGTGCGAGCAAGATACTCAAAAGCGAGATACAAGAAAGTAAAATCCATGAAATATCATCTAAAAAGAATTATTGGAGAAACAAGACTCACCTTTGAGGAACTGAGCTCGCTAACGCACCAGATCGAAGCCTGTCTCAACTCCAGACCACTATGTCCATTATACAATGATCCAGAAGAC